ATACACAGCCACCTAAAAACACTCACCTGTTAGCCCAGGTAGACATCACTAGTAGTCCCATTTAACAGAAATAACCTCTGCTTTCAACGAGATTTCACAGCTTTAACACACATATGCACAAACACACACTCCCCAAAATGTATTCTCTGTCTGACAGTGTTCATTTCGTCAACAAAAATAGTGATTCGTCAAACACCTTTTTTTCAGTGGCAATTGACAAGACTATAACATATTCATTTTAGTTGACTAAAACTAAACGAGACAAAATTATCTCTGTGACAAAAATCTGACTACTAAGTGGACTCTACAATAGTTTTTGGAGAGATTGAGAGCTTGTATGTGATAAGCACAACTAATATTAGCAGCACAGATGTGCAGCTCAGTTCTGTTCAGCAGTGGGAAGGACGCGTCACACGGCTGGTGAGCTGCGGTGGAGCAAGCGATGAGTGTGGGCAGACCAGCAGACAGGCTCCTCTTCGGCTCCGCCTCCGATTACACACATTGCGCAGACGACTCTCTTGCTTCACCTTAGCTAACCAGTCTTCTAGTTATCTACCAGACTTCTAGTTAGCTACCATCGTCTTGTTTCTAATTCAAAAGACATTACCCATAATGGCGCTACGTTTTTTTCTTTCTATCGTGCATTCGCAGACATTCATAAAGCCTATCGCGGGCCATTCTAAAACTAGGCTACATGCAGACCAGACCGTTAACCATTTGTTTAGGCTACACCTTGTTCAGTCATGTTACCTCATTAGCTAGCTATAGCTAACAACTTGGGGTGCGTTCAGCAGGACGCAACATTTTGGAACGTTCAGACAGAAATATGCTATGTAAAACAAACATGCCTCTCTGACATGTTGAATAAGGAATAACGTCAGCTCAATTCATGGAATTTCTATCTGCAACGTTCGATAAAGTTTTCCAACTAAACGTGGCCCTGGTAACGTTACCAGTAGCCTATATGCAAACATTTGGTGGCACAGAAAGAAAGGCAAAATGGATGGCAAACAAAATGACTAAGACTAAATCTAAAAAAAGAGTGCCAAAATTAACTGGTCTGAGAGCGTTAGGAGTCTCACATTAAGAGGGAGAGATCCTGGGGGGAAATAACAGCAACTTCTTTGCCACTTTAACTCTCTAGAAAGCGTTCCAATCACAGTGAATTTCCTAATTACTCCATTCTGTGCTCTCAGAGCCTTTTCCTCCTCTAGTTGTCTTAATGGAGTGTTGCCACTCTTTGTCTGCCTGACAACAGGGAGGAAGGCTGAAAGGAAAGGGTGTGGCGCCATCTTGTGCATGGTTATGTTACTGTAGCTGTCTCTCCAACATCCAGCCACATCATAGCAATAGTACTAACTCTATAAGTCTGTTTAAATGATTCCATAATACTGATTCTACATGTCTGCTTCAATAATTCATTTTACATTGCATTTACATTTTAGGCATTTAGCAATAAGTGCCTTGCTCAAGGGCACATTGACAAATGTTTAACCTAGTCGGCTCAGGGATTCGAACCAGCGACCTTTCGATTACTGGCCCAATGCTCTTAACCGCTAGGATACTTGCCTATTCCACTTTGAATGAGTCTGCATTCTTACCAATCCCATGTCTAGTATGTAAGCGGCTTTGAAAGGAACAAGGGTAAAAGCTAAAAGTCTATCTTAAAGCTCAAAACAGATCTAAATCAACTAGATCTCTGTGGCTCAAAAGATTTGAGCGTTTTGTCTATTGGAATGATTTAGACTTTTCTTACCACTGTGGTGTTCAGTAGTTACACAACAGAAGAATAGATGTTGGTGCTACCTGAAATCATCCAATTAGAATGCTCATTTATGTGTTCCATTTCAATATGGTTGGACATTTGGTGCCTCCTCATAGTCATCAAGCAGGTGGTTTAAGTGTTTGACATTTATTCTGTGAGATGGCAATCTGTTCTAAAGACGTAAGCATTGACATTATCTCACTGACAGTTGCAATAAGTAAACTCTTGCAACCGGTCTATCAAGTCAGTTGTGTGTGTGTACGTATGTGGAGAATAGGAAGGATTAAGAGGTGTTTCTGGAGCAACACTGTTCTAATCCCACAACAGCAGGCCTGTATACATACGTACACACACACACAGACCTAGTTCTATTTTAAACCTTTCCACAATGCCCTTCGTTTCTCCATTGTCTCGCCGGTCGCCAAAGAATCTGTGGCCCATAGCGATTATAAAGTGATTTACTGGGAAAGCAATCGAGAAACTATTCTCCCCATCTCCCCCCCCCCCTCCCCACACACACACACTTTATTGTAATGGGAACATATATTTACATTGCCAAAGCAATTGAAATAGATAATAAACAAATGTGAAATAAACAATAAAAAATGAACAGTAAACATTACTCTCACAAAAGTTACAAAAGAATAAAGACATTTCAAATGTCATATGTGCAAATAGTTCAAGTACAAAAGGGAAAATAAATAAACATAAATATGGGTTGTATTTACAATGGTGTTTGTTCTTCACTGGTTTCCCTTCTCTTGTGGCAACAGGTCACAAATCTTGCTGCTGTGGTGGCACACTGTGGTATATCACCTAATAGATATGGGAGTTTATCAAAATTGGATTTGTTTTCAAATTCTTTGTGGGTCTGTGTAATCTGAGGGAAATATGTGTCTCTAATATGGTCATACATTTGGCAGCTCAGTTTCCACCTCAGTTTGAGGGCAGTGTGCACCTAGCCTGTATTTTCTTGAGAGCCAGGTCTGCCTGCGGCGGCCTCTCTCAATAGCAAGGCCATGCTCATTGAGTCTGTACATAGTCAAAGCTTTCCTTAATTTTGGGTCAGTCACAGTGGTCAAGTATTCTGCCACTGTGTACTCTCTGTTTAGGGCCAAATAGCATTCTAGATTGCTTTTTTTGGTTAATTCTTTCCAATGTGACAAGTAATTCTCTTTTTGTTTGATCATGATTTAGTTGGGTCTAATTGTGCTCTCTCTATCCAGTAGCCAGTGTTAAGAGCATTGACCTCTCCATCATCCCAGAGACAGTCCTCCTATACTCATTATAGGGGGTTCTCTCTGTCTCCAAACACACACACACACACACACACACCACGTCTTTCCCATCCTCTTTCCTGTCCCCAGTGTCAGTGTGGCGCAGTGGAAACCCCCTAACCCAAATGTAATGGTACTGACACACACAAACACACTCCAACACTCACTGAATACTGATAAGGCAACACCATCACATGAAAGATGTTAGAAAACTATATTGCACAATAACATGTGTAATTTGTATACAGTAATCAGGCGTAGGAAGCGGGGGTTGTGCTCTCAATGCTTGGTAGTGAGGAAACGCACACATACATACATACATACACACACACACACACACACACACACACACACACTGGAGTCACACTCTCAAGCATTAATGAAGTGATGTGTTTTAATTAATACCAGTGTGAGCGGTAGTCCCACATCTGACAGAGATGAACTATTGCACTGAAATGAACTCACAAATGCACAAACACACACAAACACAGAGGAGTGCACATAGACACACCACGCACACACATACACACACAGCTTTGTGCAGAAGTGAATCTCTTTGCCAGTCTCATCTCTACCCTCGTGTGGCTATAACTCAAACTACACCCTCCTCTAGCTATCAAACACAGGGGGTGCATCTCAATCTACTACAGCCGTTTCCTCTCCTCATCACTCTCCTCCATCTGAATAGTATACAAACGTCTAACAAACACCTTCTGTAATACGTTTCACCTCCCCATTTGTTTTCAGATCAGTTCAGAGAGGAGAGAGGAAAGGAGATGAGGAAAGGAGGCTACTTCAGACTATTGAGAATCATCCCACCCCCAGAAAAGAGAGCGGAGACAAGGAAAGCAGGCCACTGAGAGACTATTGAGAGACCCTGCACAGCGGTGTACACATCGCCCTGGACAAACAGTGTGGGTGGTTTCCCCGGTGTTGTGAGACATTGCATCCCAAGTGCTTATATAACTCCCTCTCTCTCCCCACCTCCTCCAGTGGATCAGTCATCCCTTTATACTGCACTGGAGAGGAGAGAAAATACACCATCCTCCTCTCTTCTCACAGAAACCAGCAGGCACTCGATTCAATCAACTCTGACCACTAAATACAGGAGGTGTGTGTGTGTGTGTCTGTGTGAGGATGTGTGTGTCTGAAACTTGACATGATCGCACAGAAAGTGCTTACATATAGTAGCATAGCTCTGAACAACTCAGATGAACTAGGTTGCTGTTACAGTTCAGTAGAGTACAATAAGTACTGAACAAAAATGCCAACCAACCAACCAACCCTGCAACCAACCAACCAACCAACCAACCAACCAACCAACCAACCCTGAAACCCCCCAACCCCCCAACCAACCAACCAACCAACCAACCCTGCGACCCACCAACCCTGAAACCCACCAACCAACCAACCCTGCAACTAACCAACCAAACAACCCTGCAACCGACCAACCAAACCTGTAACCAACCAACCCTGCAACCAACCAACCCTGCAACCAACCAACCAACCCTGCAACCAACCAACCCTGAAACCAACCAACCAACCCTGCAACCCACCAACCAACCCTGCAACCAACCAACCAACCAGCCAACCAACCAGCCAACCAACCCTGCAATCAACCAACCCTGAAACCAACCCTGCAACCAACCAACCAACCCTGCAACCAACCAACCCTGAAACCAACCAACCAACCCTGCAACCCACCAACCAACCCTGCAACCAACCAGCCAACCAACCCTGCAATCAACCAACCCTGAAACCAACCACCCAACCAACCAACCAACTACTCACTCACTCACTCACTCACTCACTCACTCACTCATTCCCCAACCAACCAACCCTGCAACCCACAACCAAGCGGTGTGTTCCAATGATCCAAAGGTGACCAAATCTGTCAGGGGGACACAGAGCGCCGGAAGTGATGTCACAGCATGTGACCACCACCTCCGCTTCACGTGTCATTTCCCCCTTCTCTTCTCCTGGAAAACGATCTGTTCTGTGGGTTAAAAAGAGATCCTAATAAACAAACTAGAAAAGGAACATTTACTGACAGAAAAGTGTGTGCTTGCTTCTACTGTCTTATTCAGTCAGTATTTCTATAGTAATGCATGGGGAATAACAGTAGTGTGCTTTCAGCAAGCACATTAACAACCAGTAATAACCAGTAATAGACTCACATTGATGAGTTCTATCTCCCAGATCTTCTTGACCAGTTCCATGGAGGTGTATCCGTTGATGAGGAAGGACTTGGTGTAGTCTCCCAGCTCCAGAGACTCCAGCCACTCAGCCACTGACGTGGGGTTGTTACCGTCATAGCCGATAGGACGCACCTGGAGGGGGAAGGCGGAGGGGACAGACTGACACTAGATGATATGAAGAGCATTGATACAGGACACTCTAAAACTAGGGCGGAAAGGAGGGAGGGAGGCAGAGAGGGAGGAAAGGAGGGAGGGAGGCAGAGAGGGAGGAAAGGAGGGAGGGAGGGAGGCAGAGAGGGAGGAAAGGAGGGAGGGAGGCAGAGAGGGAGGAAAGGAGGGAGGGAGGGAGGCAGAGAGGGAGGAAAGGAGGGAGCGGAGAGGGAAGGAGAGACTGTCAACTAATGGCAGATACATAGATGACATAAAAACTACAGTGCACCATCAAAGGCTCAAACACTGGACAAAGGCAGATGGAGGGAGGGAGGGAGGGAGGGAGGGAAAGGATAGCCTTGCTGCATATAAAATGCTGAATTTAATATAGACATTTTATATAGAAATGTAATATAAGATGCTGAATTCCATATCAACCCTTAGCACCCAAGGACATTATAAGCATTATAGAGAAAATCCCACCTAGCCATTCAAAGGGAGAGGCAGGGCTAGTTCCTAATTGCTTACAGAATAGCTATCTAATCCCTTCAGATCTACAAGGAGCGCAGGGGCAAAAGGTTTATTTAGGATTAAGCAAATGCATCTTATTTTTCCCTATTTGTACTTGGTGTGCTGTAGGCCTATGTGATGTGAGAATATATTCCACAGTAAGTATGTCTAGCTGCTTCCTTCTGCAATACAGTCAACACGACTTCAGAGGAGAAGAGTATTCCGCTTTTTCTCATAGAAGAGGATATATCTGAAGTAGGAAGGATTCGACATCCTACTTTTAAGAAGAGTTGGGACTTTGGGGTGAGCATATCGTGTGACATTTTCCTAAAATCTGCATCCTTTTTTCCACACAGTAAGGGAGAAGAGAGAGGCAGGAAGTGGGAGAGTATTTCCCTGTCGTTTGAAAACTTTGCAGGGATGAGAGGAGGAAAGTGCTGACTGCAAGTTAAGGAGATTGGTTACCCAGAGTTCCTCTCTCTCTCTGTATTGTACCACGCCTGCTCAGCGCTCTCGCTCTCTCGCTCCTCTCTCTCTCTCTCTTTTTGTCTCTGCTCCCTCATGCTCAATATCTCTTCTCTCTTTCCTGCTCTCTCTGTCATTTGAGCCTTCACTGTTTCATCCTCTCTCCTCATCCTATTTAATTCACATCTCTCACTGTCACGCCCTGACTCAGGGGACTCGTATATGTTGAGTCAGGGTGTGTATGTTCTATGTTGTGTATTTCTATGTTGGTGTTCTATTATGTGTAGATCTATGTTTGCCGGTGTGGTTCCCAATCAGAGGCAGCTGTAGCTCGTTGTCTCTGATTGGGGACCATACTTAGGCAGCCTATTGGCACTAGTGGGTTGTGGGATCTTGTTCCGTGTTAGGTATGTTGTTTGTGTACCTTGGACTTCACGTTTCGGTTCTTGTTTTGTCGTTGTATTTATAAGTCAAATTAACATGTATGCATATCACGCTGCGCCTTGGTCTGACCCGTTCATCAACGATCGTGACACTCACTTAGTTGGCTATATTGGTTGTGTGTGTGTGTGACTGCACATTAAAGGAAAGATTCAACCATTTTGAATGTTATATCGTTTTTGTGCATCTCTGAGTGATGTTCTATTGGCGAATAGCTCAGATACACATGAAAACATGAAATGACCCCGGGAATCGATAGAACATCGCTCAGAGATGGACAAATACGATATAACATTCAAAATGGGTGAATCTTTCCATTAACACAGTAAGGGCAAAACAGATTTTCTCTATTTCATTTAGACTGGTGTAGAGCTCATCTTCTAATGTTATCCCCTCCACAGAATCCTAATGATGTTACAGTCATTTTTACTTTGTAGTACACACAAACGCACGCGCACACACACACACACACACACCATACACACACACAGTACTGACCCTGGGCAGTAGGCGTATGGCCTGTAGCAGCCTCTGTCTGTGGGATGAGTTGAGGATCCCGATCTCCAGCAGGTCCTGGTCCTCCACCACGTTACTGCCCTGCATGGGGAACATACACATGACATCATCAGTCTATTGATCAGTGACATCATCAAACTGAGACAGAGTGGCTAAGCGGCTTCAGTGAGCCAATTTGTGTATCTCTCATGCAGAGACTTCTGTTCACTACTCCACCCATCCCAATGCCTTGTTGTGAGGGGTATCTTGCATAAATGGCTACCACGCATGCACGCAAGCACGCACACACGCACCCCCCCACACACACACACACACCTGGCCCTTCAATCAGCACCATGCTGAGTTCCACATTTAATTAATCTGATGTGAGACCTTTAGAGACCTATCACTCTCCTCTCCTACTGAGACACAGAGAGAGAGAGAGTGAGACAGAGAGAGAGAGAGACAGAGAGTGAGACAGAGAGAGAGAGAGAGAGAGAGAGAGAGAGAGAGAGAGAGAGAAGAGAGAGAGAGTAGAGTAAGATAGAGAGAGAGAGAGAGAGAGAGAGGAGACCTAGAGAGCAGTTGAGGAGAGAGGAGAGAGAGAGAGATGAGAGGAGAGCGAGGTGAGAGGGGGGGGAGGGGGAGAGAGAGACGAGAGCGAGAGAGGCGAGAAAGAGAGAGAGGAGAGAGAGGAGAGAGACGAGAGCAGAGAAAGAGGGGGGAGAGAGACAGAGAGACAGACAGAGAGAGAGAGGAGAAGAAAGAAGACAGACAGACAGGACAGACAGACAGACAGACAGACAGACAGACAGACAGACAGACAAAGACAGACAGAGAAAGAAAGAAAGAAAGACAGTGAACAAAGGACAGAGGAGAGAGGGAGAGATAGACAAAGAGAAAGACAGAAAGAGAGAGTGTTTGAGAGAGAGAGAGAGAGAGAGAGAGAGAGAAACATAGAGGCACCAGAGAGATGAGGTGTTGAGGGTTGTCTCTCTGTGGAGCCCCAGCCTCAGGCTGTACTAAAGCCCAGACACAGATCACACCTGGTAGGGGATTGAACTTGTCACTCCTCCACATCTCTTTCCTCCCCTCTCTTTATCTCCCTCTCTCTTTACCTGGCTAGACAATAACACAGATAGCTATCGATCTGGAGCACTGAAGAGAGGGATGAAGGAGGAATGGAACGGCAGATTCTCACGGCCATCTTTTTCATTTAATCCTCAACGTGATGCTCTAACCTGCTGCACTCTACAGACCAAGAGCCATTGGCTTATGTTGTATTTATGTACTGTATGGGGAGGTATATTAGGGTAGTGTGATGCTATTGTATTATATTAGGGCATAAATAGAGTTGTATTGAATTTACTATATGGGGAATAGGGGGCCATTTAAGACACACACAGCCTCCTGCAGTGCCCTTGTGCGATAGACCTCTCAGGCTGATTAAGAGAGCCCAGAACACCCAGCATCTGTTACAGTCACCGCCCTACACGCCAGACCAGAGTAATGGCACCCAGAGCCGGGGCAGAGATGGATGGCTGGGGCTTCAAAGACATGACTAATCGCTCGCCGCTGGTCTCTGATAGGTGGAGATAGAGAGGCTGAGGGTGTTTGTCTTGTTCTGTCTGCCCTTCTTTTCTATTAATAGAATTAATAGTATCTCTCTCTCTTTCCCTCCCTCCCTCTCTCTCTCACACACACACACAAACACACACACACTATGGTTGCGTTTAGACAGGCAGCCAAATTCTGATGTGATTGGTCTTTTGACCAATCAAATCAGATCTTTTCACATCAGATCTTTTTCAGAGCTGATCCGATTGTTCAAAAGACCAATTAGTGGGAAAAAAATCTGAATTGGGCTGCCTGTGTAGACGCACCCTATATAATCACTTCATCTGATCTCTGCTCTGGGGTTCCATTAAATTTTCAACATTGACCCCTGAGCTAATGATGACATTAGTGGAGTAGGTAGAGTTTCCCCTAACAACCCGTAGTCAGGGATGATATTATTTTCTCAACTTCATGACAGTAAAGGTTAGGAACGGGATAGGTTCATCTGGCTAACTTCTACCATGACCTACTCTATCATTGGCTGCATCTCAATGGTTAGAAACGGCTTTCTTTTCTCATCCACTTCCCTTCACGACCATTGATTGCAAAGGCCTTGATCAATTACAGCAATATGTTGAAAACGTATCTGGTCCTATCTAGGAAATGAGACAAGGAAAGGAGAAGAGGAAAGGAAGCTGTTAGGCTAAGTATATAGAAATGCAATGTATAGAATAAACATAACTTCTGGAAGAGAAGGTCTTTAAAGATGTTTGTTCTATATAAATTTTCTATAACATTACATTTCTATACCCTCGCTACGCTGCACAATTCAATGCTGTGATACTCGTTCAACACCGCACACTGCTGCTCATGCTCCCAGGTGATTTTGATGTACTTGTTCAACACACCATGAAATATCGCAATATCTCTGTGTGTTAATTTAATATAACAAATAATAATACACTTTACTCAAAGTAAGTGCTTTTCATTAACAGCAAAAATCTCATCCACTTCACTGTGTCAATTCAATTGAACTGTTGATAGGTCTATTATCACGACCATAGTAGTGCTTTCCCACAATGCTTTGGGTCAGGCTTCCCTTAAAAGGCAGAAATGTAAATTCATACAGCCCAGGGTTTATATGCCACAACCAAAGTGATAAAGGGAAGACATTTATATTCAGTAATGGTACTGAAATCCATTATCGAGACCAACAGGCGCTCAACGACTAGCTAGTACAAATCACTCAATTTGTCTCTGTCGGTCTCTCATTCTCCGTTTGGATCTCTTTATGCTTCTCTCTCTCTTTTCATTATACCCCTCTATCTTTCAGGCCACACATTGATTCTCTCTCTCTCTCTCAATTCAATTTCAATTCCAATTTCAATTCAAGGGGCTTTATTGGCATGGGAAACATATGTTAACATTGCCAAAGCAAGTGAAATAGATAATAAACAAACGTGAAATAAACAATAAAAACATTTAAAGTAAACATTACACTCACAACAGTTCCAAAAGAATAAAGACATTTCAAATGTCATATGTGCAAATAGTTAAGGTACAAAAGGGAAAATAAATCAACATAAATATGGGTTGTATTTACAATGGTGTTTGTTATTCACTGGTTGCCCTTTTCTTGTGGCAACAGGTCACTAATCTTGCTGCTGTGATGGCACACTGTGGTTTTTCACCCAATAGATATGTGAGTTTATCAAAATTTGGTTTGTTTTCGAATTATTTGTTGGTCTGTGTAATCTGAGGGAAATATGTGTCTCTAATATGGTCATACATTTGGCAGGAGGTTAGGTTTTACTCTATGTTTTTACTTTATTTTGTTTAGCTACGTCGGCCTTTCTCAATAGCAAGGCTATGCTCACTGAGTCTATACATAGTCAAAGCTTTCCTGGGTCAGTCACAGTGGTCAGGTATTCTGCCACTGTGTACTCTCTGTTTAGGGCCAAATACCATTCCAGTTTGCTCTGTTTAAAAACAAAATCTTAAAAGTAATTATCTTTTTGTTTTCTCATGATTTGGTTGGGTCTAATTGTGTTGCTGTTGCTGTCCTAGGGCTCTGTTTGTGTTTGTGAACAGAGCCCCAGGACCAGCTTGCTTAGGGGACTCTTCTCCAGGTTAATCTCTCTGTAGGTTATGTCTTTGTTATGGAAGGTTTGGGAATCGTTTCCTTTTAGGTGGTTGTAGAATTTAAGGTCTCTTTTCTGGATTTTTATAATTAGCGGGTATCAGCCTAATTCTGCTATGCATGCATTATTTGGTGTTTTACATTGTACACGGGGGATGTTTTTGCAGAATTCTGCATGCTCTCTCTCTCTCTCTCTCTCCTCTGACAAACAGAATTGGGGGTTAGCGGTAGCATGGGACAAAAGGCTTAATACAGAGGGCTCCACAAGGAGAATGGGCTAATTTATTTACTACATACTAACTATTGCACACACACATGCACACACACACATTACACACATGCGTTTACCAAAACACACACACACACACTGCTGCATTATCTAGTGGTGTGTCTATGCCGGGAGAGAGATCTGTCTCCATTTAAGCCCCTTCATAATGACCCCTTAATGTAAATACAGAAGTCATCTTCACCCATCTCCATGACGACAGGCACCAACCCCTCGCCCTATCCGTACATCAATCAAACCAACAGCTGTTCCTTACTGGCTGGTTAAGGTGACAGACCACACCCCCTCACAGGCCCTCTATTGTGGACAGAGAAAGAAGCTGAGTTCTCAAGGTAACAACAACAATCACCAAAGCTTGAGTAAAGTAGGGAGTGTGTGTGTGTGTGTATTGTTACGCGCATTTATGTGTGAATAATGTGTGTGTGCGTGTATGTCTCTGTTTCCTGTTGATCCCAGTAGGGTTTACTGCAGTGGTAGTGAGCAGTGTTAGGGTCAAATTCATTTAGGCTCTTGTCAATTCCAGCACATGAACTTGACATGCAACTGTAATGGAAAAAGCGGTCTCTCCATAGCATAGTTGTTGTTCACATTTCAGTTTGCTGTCAATTTCATCTCCTGAATAGAGTGGTGCTGCATTAATTTTTTTACAAAAATGGCCACCATCAATTTCCAGCGTTTTCTTTCTCAGGCTCTTATGGTAACCAAATCAATCATTTATCTCCATCGGCCAACATCTCATGAATACGAAATGCTGTGTACCGCGTCAAGGTTTCCTAGTCGAAGGAAGAAGCTTAAACCGTTTCCCTCGCCGCTCGGCAGCTGAAACAGAAGATGAAAATACTTCCTAGCGAGTTAGTGTTGAAGCCGGAATGTTCCAGTGTCTGGGAAAGAGAGAGAGATAGAAACTAACAATAGGGAAGTTTGAAGTAACCCCAGTACTTGAAAGAGACTCGGCAGAAGCTCTGGCACGGCTTTATTCAATATTAATTATATCTAAAGGCATTTCACAGCAGGGGAAGAGATCGAAGATTTATAAAAATAAAATAAAAAATGAGACAGGCGAGGCGAGGATGAGAGAATTCCCCTGACTCTCAGAACTTCTGCCAGAGACCCTCAGCAGCTTTTGACTGGGAGCGAGCTGGACTAACATAGTATAATACTAATGGGTAGGGAATGACAGGGATAGGACGGTAGCGTCGGTGATGGTATGCGTGGGTGATGGTATGTGGGTCATTCTTGAATTACGGTGGCATTTGGGCAAGGAATTTTGGGAAACATTAACTATTTAAAAAAAAAAAATGTATTTGTGTACATCGTCCCATTCGAAATCAACTAACATGGTAGCTTAATTACTTTAAATAATTGATACCATTATGATAACATTGTGCAACCAGTAGGAATAGTAACACCAATGATGGTAACACCAATGAGACATTTGAGATAAATTAGGATTTTCTGAAATGGAGTCTTCACATGCTCAAATCTCTGGTCAACAAGCCTTCACAAACCATTTACTGAAGTGATTTGATTAATCATTTTGCTCACAATGTTATTTCCCTTCATTTAAATTGACTAACACCAAGTGACACTTTGTATTTAGACGCACCAAGTATGGCGCTGCAGTGGATAGCGGCCGTTTTACGGGCTCCCGACCATTTCTGCTATTTTGTGTTTTTTTTTAAATGTTGATCTTAACTTATTTTGTACATTATGTCTCCGCCATCATTTCCTATGACATCACAACAGCGATCACTAACCTCCATTTGGATGAGGATTTATACCTCAACAAGTCGGCAGCTCTAGACATTCTGCTCACTCCGGACCAGGCCCTAATCCCTAGGAATCGAAAGAGGAACCGGCAGCGAAGAAGAGGCAGGCGAGGCGGCCTCCTAACGAGATTACGTTGGCGAACATGCATCGTCTAGACAGGACGACAGCCTTGGGTAAGGCTAGGGGGAGGGGTGTGTCTCTGTTAACAGGAGCTGGTGCGCAATCTCTAATGTTAAGGAAGTCTCCTGAGTTAGAATACCTCATGTAGACCACACTATTTACGAGAGTTTTCATCTATATTTTTCATAGCTATCTATTTACCACCACAAACCGATGCTGGCACTAAGACCGCACTCAACGAGCTGTATAGGGCCATAAGCAAACAAGAAAATGCACAAATATCAAATTTACATAAGTATTCAGACCCTTTACTAAGTACTTTGTTGAAGCACCTATGGCAGCAATTACAGCATCGAGTCTTCTTGGGTATGACGCTACAAGCTTGGCACACCTGTATTTGGGGAGTTTCTCCCATTCTTCTCTGCAGATCCTCTCAAGTTCTGTCAGGTTGGATGGGGAGCGTCGCTGCACAGCTATTTTCAGGTCTCTCCAGAGATGTTTTTTCGGGTTCAAGTCCGGGCTCTGGCTGGGCCACTCAAGGACATTCAGAGACTTGTCCCGAAGCCACTCCTGCGTTGTCTTGGCTGTGTGTGCTTAGGGTCATTGTCCTGTTGGAAGGTGAACCTTCACCCCAGTCTGAGGTCCTGAGCGCTCTGGAGCAGGTATTCATCAAGGATCTCTCTGTACTTTGCTCCGTTCATCTTTGCCTCGAGCCGGACTAGTCTCCCAGTCCTTGCAGCTGAAAAACACCTCCACAGCATGATGCTGCCACCACCATGCTTCACCGTAGGGATGGTGCCAGGTTTCCTCCAGACGTGACGCTTGGCATTTAGGCCAAAGAGTTCAATCTTGGTTTCATCAGATCAGAGAATCTTGTTTCTCATGATCTGAGAGTCTTTAGGTGCCTTTTGGCAAACTCCAAGTGGGCTGTCATGTGCCTTTTAAGTGGCTTCCGTCTGGCCACTTTACCATAAAGGCCTGATTGGTGGAGTGCTGCAGAGATGGTTGTCCTTCTGGAAGGTTCTCCCATCTCCACAGAGGAACTCTAGAGCTCTGTCAGAGTGACCATCGGATTCTTGGTCACCTCCCTGACCAAGGCCCTTCTCCCCCGATTGCTCAGTTTGGCCGGGCGGTCAGCTCTAGGAAGAGTCTTGGTGGTTCCAAACTTCTTCCATTTAAGAATGATGGAGGCCACTGTGTTCTTGGGGACCTTCAATGCTGCATTAATGTTTTGGTACCCTTCCCCAGATCTGTATCTCGACACAATCCTGTCTCGGAGCTCTACGGACAATTAATTTGACCTCATGGCTTGGTTTTTGCTCTGACATGCACTGTCAACTGTGGGACCTTATATAGACAAGTGTGTGCCTTTCCAAATCATGTCCAATCAATTGAATTTACCTCAGGTGGACTCCAATCAAGTTGTAGAAACATCTCAAGGATGATCAATGGAAACAGGATGCACCTGATTTCAATTTTGAATCTCATAGCAAAGGGTCTGAATACTTATGTAAATAAGGTATGTGTTTGTTATTAGTAATACATTTGCAAAAATTTCTAAAAACCTGTTTTCGCTTTGTCAATATGGGGGATTATGTGTAGATTGCTGGAAAAATAAGAATATTTAATTCATTTTAGAATAAGGCTGTAACGTAACAAAATGTGGAAAAAGTCAAGGGGTCTGAATACTTTCCGAAGGAACTGTACATTGATTGGTTGATTAATCTTATGCTACACAAAAATAAATAACGTAAATTTTTCTAAACTAATCCAATCTGTTAGTAGTTGGACTTATTGCAACAGTTACTGAGATGGCTATTCTAGTTTAGATGATTTAGGTAGTCTCATTAATTAATCTTCCTACCCTGGCAGTCATTCTCAGGGCTCCAGACTAACATTTTCACCTGATGGCACTGGTGCCACTTACTTTTTCATTTGGAAGCACCAGACCATGTCTTGGTCGCACCCGAAAAAAATTGCAGCGTCACGCAATAGAAAAAAGAATTAACCTCTTACAAAGTCATTCACAGTGCTTTATTAAGAGGTGTAATAGACTACTGAGATGGCTGTAAAATAGTTGCTATAGAGCTCAATATTGAGAGTTGAGAAATAAGTAGAGAAATAAAAAGTATACCTACAGAAAGCTGAGAACCCCCCTCTCTCTTCAACAGTGACAACATTAGCTGCTTCCATTAGTTTCTTCCAAAGCTGTGTTTGTCCCGCAATTGGATTTTGAAATGTTATAGCCTACAACCAGAATAAATTATTTTCTCCCAGTGCGCGGGGGGAGGGAGTTAGTGTCTCATCACAGCAGCAGGCCCCAGCAAAACAGGCACAGGTGCAGGGCAGAGACTTTCATTCTAGAAATTATGAGGATAATGCACATTACTGTTTGACAAAATCATGGTTTCCTAAAAAAATTGGACGTTTGGAGTGAGGTGACCATGTAGAATGGGCAGCTCGCACTGTGAGACTATTCGCAAAATGTGACTAAATGGTTGCAGTCTAGAGTCCTGATTCTGAATGCAGGTGATTAAAAGTTCAAATTGTTGGATATCCTCACTCTGGCTGGATTCTAATAGGAACTACACATCACTTTGCAAGCCAGCAATATGTGGCTTGCAGGCTTAAATAATAAATAATAAATAATTGTATGTTCAGGCTTGATGCGGCCAGTAAACCAGGAGTTTCAGACCACTGTGTTAGGGTGTAACTAGGCCCTCAAAGAAAAGTCTTATGATATATGTAATGTATTGTCATAGTGAGATTAATTTAGAGGCACACAGGGAAATATCCAAATAAGGCAGAATACATTCTCAAATTGAATTGTATGTCCACATTTCAAGGTTGAGAGAACATACAATTCAACTTGAGAATATGCCCAAATGTTGAGCAAACTAAAAATCCTATTGCAGCTGGTTGCCTTGATATTTTAAGTTCTCAACATCTTATATACAGTATATACCGTATTTTTTTTACATTGCACTTGTACCGGTTCAAGCGTATTCTTCTCCAGTCAGACTGCAGCCAATATAACTGTATTACTAGGATAACAGACTCATTCTGTATGGAGATACAGGCATGGTGGCTGCTAGCTTGAATGTCAATTGGACATCCTCTCTTGTATAATACATTAATAAAGATTCTGCAGGGGCTGTAACAGAGCTGTACACATGCACAGACACACACACGCAGGTTTTGAGTCTTTTTGCATCATCATTCAAATGTTTGGTTATGTGATAAAGCTGTAAAAGATGGAGTAGGAAGGAGTAGGAACACACTCAAACATCCTTTCTCTCTCTCTCTCTATATATATATATATTTTTTTTTTCTCTTCATGTTTTTCTCTTCTCTCTCTCCGTCATCCACCCCTCTCAATATTTTCTTTATTTCTTTACCTTGGTCTCCCTCCCTCTCTCTCTCCCTCCCTCCCTCCCTGTTGATAACAACACAGGTCCCTGAGTAGATGGTTGTTGCTGCACAGTGTTTTATGCTCTTCAGAAACAGAGCACACACACACACACAACCAAGCATGTGTTTACGAAGCATGTGACAAATACAATTTGATATGACACACACGTCTTGAACCAATACCACAAGCTCCCTGTCACGTATGATGAGTTTTAATCACGCACATGTCAAAGTACAGACCAAGCTAAAACATGTGTGACCTGTCACAGAGAGATCAATACACACACACACACACACACAGTGAAATGTCATGGAGGAAGTTCCTGCATACTAAATGTTACACATGTAGTCTCTCTCTCCACGCTACCAGAGATGAAAGAAGAGAAAAAAGGAGTAATGGGAAGCTGAAAGAGAGGAAGACACTGATAGTTCACAGAGTTGTGTGTGTGTTGGATTACGTTTGTTGCCTGTGTGTGTGTGTGTGTGTGTTTTGTACGTAGTCTGTGTGTTGTGCAACTGTCTTGTGGGACTGAGGGTGGAGAAACATGAAGGATAGGAGGAGAGGAACAGAAACAGAAAGAAAAGGGAACAGTAAACAGAGAGAGAGAGAGAGAGAGAGAGAGAGAGAGAGAGAGAGAGAGAGAGAGAGAAAAAGGAAGAAGCGAAAGAGAGGAGGGAAAAGACCCGCGATTGGAGAGGAGACGGCCAGAGAGAGACCCCGGGAGAGGGGAGAAGAAAGAGACAGAGTCACAGGAGAGAGCGAAAGAGAGAGACAGGAAACGACAATCACAGAGAGAGAGCGGAAGAATACAGAAGAGAAAGCGAAGAAGAAAGGAGGAGAGAGGAGCGGGGGGGGAATTTTTTTTTTGGGGGGGGCCCCCCCCCAGAAAGAGAAACAGCCCATATAACCAAATGATCAATAGAAAAGGGGTTTGGAGACTTTAAGAAGGAGAGAGAAAGGAGCAGAGGATTTATTTTGGAAAGAGAGGCGCAAACAAGACAGATAGAAGAGGGGACAAGGATAGTGTGAAGGAAAGTGAGAGGGTGGAAGAGAATTAGAGATAGACAGCGATAGAGAAAGATAAATTATAGAAGACACACAAAACCCACCACAAAACCAAGAAAACGACACAAAACCCCCCCCCCCCCCCCATCTCTACTCACCATAAACTGCACGTTGTCGAAGCCGTTGGCCAGTAGGTGGTTCTCATATTGGACCAGTCCAATGCTGTCCAGCCATTGGCCCACAGACTGCATGGGGCACCGGGGACCTATGAGGGGGTGAAGGGGCAGACGCTTCAGGAGGGAGTACCCATCCACCCGGTAACACCGGCAGTCGGGCTGGGAGAGCTGGCACTGCCACATCATGTTGCGGGCAATGTGGCTGTCGAACGAGCCCGCCATGGTAAAGGAAGAGGGGGAGGAGTGTGGAGGAGAGGGGAAAGAGAGAGGGAGGATGGATGGGGGGGTTGGAGGATAGGGGGTTGGGGTTAGGCTTGGTTGAGGGTTATGAGCATGGTTGAGGGGTTAGGATGGAGGGGCGAAGCATGCTAGGGTGCTGGGGGATAAGTTTAGGGTGGTTGGAGGTAGATATAGGGATTGGGAAAAGAGGGGGGCGAGGGCTGGGGTTAGATCCAGAGAAGAGGTGCCGTCCTGGAGGTAAGATCCATGAGAGAGAGGGTGCAGAGGCTGGAGGTGGTCAGATAGATCCGATAGATGCCTGTGTCTTTCTGCTGCTGCTGCGCTGGTGCTTTCCTTTCACGCTCTCAGCTGTTGCTCCTGCCTGCCTGTTCGCCTCGCTCGTGTGTGTGTACGAGTGTGTGTGTACGAGTGTGTGTGTACGAGTGTGTGTGTGTGTGCGAGCAGGAGAGAGAGAGAAAGAGAGAGAGAGAGAGAGAGAGAGAGAGAGAGAGAGAGAGAAAGAGAGAGAAGGAGATAGGGAGAGCTGCCTGGTTGGTAGAATTCTCTTTATCAAGTACTCCCACACTCAACTGGATGCTTTCTGCAGCCTTCTCTCTCTCTCTCTCTCTCTCTCTCTCTCTCTTCTGCTCTCCCCCGCTCTCTCTCTCCACTCTGCCTTCCTCTCCCTCCTCTTTCTATCCTCCCTCTTCTCTCTATCTGCTCTCCTTTTTCTCACTCTCTCTCCCTCGATCTCTCTGCTCTCCCTTCTTTCGCTCTCTCTCTCTTTTCTTAGTTCTCCCTCTATCGCTCTCTCGCTCCCTTTCCCTTCTCTCTCTCCCTCGTTATCTCTCGCTCCCTGCCCCTCCCTCTCTTTCTCCCCCCTCTCTCTCACTCTCTCTGTCCCCCTCCCTTTATCTCAGTGCCTCACACAGATAGCAATAGCCATCAGATGAGCCTCTTTGTCTGAGAGCTGAACACACAATGTGGGTGTGGGTGCATGTGCGTTGGTGGGAGACAGCAGGTTTAGCACATAGCGCAAACAGCATTTCTCTCAGGGAATGCTTCACATGCATAGGAGAGGAGAGGCGGGAGGATAGAGATAAGGGGAAATAGCGAGAGAGAGAGCGAGAGAAAGAGAGAGGAGGATGGAGAAAGAGGGGGGAAGATAGAGGGAAAGAGAAGGAGGAGAGAGAGGTGAGAGGGGGAGTGACAGAAGGACAAGTGGGGATGAGACAGAAGTGAGGAGGAAAGAGGGAGAGATGAGGAGAGAGAGAATGCGATAGAGGAGAAAGGAGGTATGGAAGCTGGGGATTTCAGTTCATTGCAGTTTCTGACTATGTGTTTACCTGCATTATTCTCCTTGATCCCCTCCAAGCCCGTGTCAGTGCCAATGCCAGCCCCAATGGAGCTCATAATCTTATCAATCTGAATGGAGGGAAGGAGAGAGAAGAGAGAGAGAGTTGTCATTTAGAAAATGTTCACACTATACAGTGGGGAAAAAAAGTATTTAGTCAGCCACCAATTGTGCAAGTTTTCCCACTTAAAAAGATGAGAGAGGCCTGTAATTTTCATCATAGGTACACGTCAACTATGACAGACAAATTGAGAAAAAAAATCCAGAAAATCACATTGTAGGATTTTTAATGAATTTATTTGCAAATTATGGTGGAAAATAAGTATTTGGTCACCTACAACAAGCAAGATTTCTGGCTCTCACAGACCTGTAACTTCTTCTTTAAGAGGATCCTCTGTCCTCCACTCGTTACCCTGTATTAATGGCACCTGTTTGAACTTGTTATCAGTATAAAAGACACCTGTCCACAACCTCAAACAGTCACACTTCAAACTCCACTATGGCCAAGACCAAAGAGCTGTCAAAGGACACCAGAAACAAAATTGTAGACCTGCACCAGGCTGGGAAGACTGAATCTGCAATAGGTAAGCAGCTTGGTTTGAAGAAATCAACTGTGGGGAGCAATTATTAGGAAATGGAAGACATACAAGACCACTGATAATCTCCCTCGATCTGGGGATCCACGCAAGATCTCCACCCCGTGGGGTCAAAATGATCACAAGAACGGTGAGCAAAAATCCCAGAACCACACGGGGGGACCTAGTGAATGACCTGCAGAGAGCTGGGACCAAAGTAACAAAGCCTACCATCAGTAACACACTATGCCGCCAGGGACTCAAATCCTGCAGTGCCCCCTGCTTAAGCCAGTACATGTCCAGGCCCGTCTGAAGTTTGCTAGAGTGCATTTGGATGATCCAGAAGAGGATTGGGAGAATGTCATATGGTCAGATGAAACCAAAATATCACTTTTTGGTAAAAACTCAACTCGTCGTGTTTGGAGGACAAAGAATGCTGAGTTGCATCCAAAGAACACCATACCTACTGTGAAGCATGGGGGTGGAAACATCATGCGTTGGGGCTGTTTTTCTGCAAAGGGACCAGGACGACTGATCCGTGTAAAGGAAAGAATGAATGGGGCCATGTATCGTGAGATTTTGAGTGAAAACCTCCGTCCATCAGCAAGGGCATTGAAGATGAAATGTGGCTGGGTCTTTCAGTATGACAATGATCCCAAACACACCCGCCCGGGCAACGAAGGAGTGGGCTTCGTAAGAAGCATTTCAAGGTCCTGGAGTGGCCTAGCCAGTCTCCAGATCTCAACCCCATAGAAAGTCTTTGGAGGGAGTTGAAAGTCTGTGTTGCCCAGCGACAGCCCCAAAACATCACTGCTTTAGAGGAGATCTGCATGGAGGAATGGGCCAAAATACCAGCAACAGTGTGTGAAAAGCTTGTGAAGACTTACAGAAAACGTTTGACCTGTGCCATTGCCAACAAAGGGTATATAACAAAGTATTGAGAAACTTTTGTTATTGACCAAATACTTATTTTCCACCATAATTTGCAAATAAATTCATAAAAAATCCTGCAATGTGATTTTCAGGATTTTTTTTTCTCATTTTGTCTGTCATAGTTGACGTGTACCTATGATGAAAATTACAGGCCTCTCTCATCTTTTTAAGTGGGAGAACTTGCACAATTGGTGGCTGACTAAATACTTTTTTTCCCCACTGTATCTCTAGCTGCCTATATGTAAATTGATGACATAGTCGTTATAAATTCAAATTAATGGCAATCAATCACCTTTGAATTTTATTGAGTTGACAGGCGAGGAGGACAGAAGAGATTGAAGGAGAAAAGGGAGAGACTTGGAAGAAGGGAAGGGAGAGAAAGGAGGGGAGAAGATGGATGGGAAAGCATGAAAGAGAGAGAAAGAGAGAGAAAAAGAGAAAGCATCTGGATTACGGCTTCAGAGGCCTCTGTTTGCCTTTAAGCTCGTCTACAGGGGGTTTCCACAGCAGGAATCTGACCCTAGACCTGCTGTTAAGCAATCAACTGTGCAGTGTAGCACCATACAACTGACAGGCTTAATGACTGCCTATGGGGGCTACCACATCACTGCCGACTCACTGATGTAAGATCAGAGAGCTCACCCAAATGACACAATTCCTAATTTTAAAGTAGTCTATGGAATGGGAAAAATTGGGACTCCCACATTGGGTTTGAGTACAAAAGCAATAGATCACTATTTTCTAACGTTAGCAACATAGCATTGATTACCAAAAACAGCTAAGAGTGAATGGACCCCATGTAGCCTACACTTGTTTACATGCATCATTTTCAGGGTCAGGAAAACCGTAATTTAAAGGAGAAATCCGCAGCTGAAACATTTACAAAATCGTTCTTCCCACCCCTGTTTCGGTACAAAGCTGAGGAACGGAGCTAGAGAACTATAACCACTTAAATTAATTGAAAGAGCTATGGACTGAACATATTTCCAAATTATAGTTTTGAACCATGTTTTGAGGCTACATTTACTTTGTTTACAAACATTGGAGTAAAACAAGCTTATATTCTGGGTTCTGATGGGGTACAGCAGTTGAACTAAGCTCATGAGGCATTTATAAGTTATATTCCTGAAGAATCAATGGGTACATTTAACTAATTTAGAAGTCAAAAAATGGATGTATCAAATGCAGATTGCCCCTTTAAGAGCACTATCCCTATAAGCACATACAGTTCTTTAGTGAGCCTTCCCTTGTGGGCAGCCTCTTGCTTATATAGCAGAACTGACTCTTGCATTTCTGCTCAAAATAGAACAAATACACTACATCTCATTCCAAAATCATGGGCATTAATATGGAGTTGGTCCCCCCTTTGCTGCTATAACAGCCTCCACTCTTCTGGGAAGGCTTTCCACTAGATGATGGAAGATTGCTGCGGGGACTTGCTTCCATTCAGCCACAAGAGCCTTTGTGAGGTCGGGCACTGATGTTGGGAGATTAGGCCTGGCTCGCAGTCGGCGTTCCAATTTATCCCAAAGGTGTTCGATGGGGTTGAGGTCAGGGCTCTGTGCAGGCCAGTCAAGTTCTTCAACACCTGTTTCCACAAAGTTGGAAGCACAATATCGTCTAGAATGTCGCTGTAGCGTTAAGATTTCCTTTCACTGGAACTAAGGGGCCTAGCCCCGAACCATGAAAAACAGCCCCAGACCATTATTCCTCCTCCACCAAACTTTACAGTTGGCACTATGCATTCGGGCAGGTAGCATTCTCCTGGAATTTGCCAAACCCAGATTCGTCCATCGGCTCGGAAGCGTGATTCATAATTCCAGAGAACGCGTTTTCAGTCCAATGGCAGCGAGCTTTACACCACTCCAGCCGACACTTGGCATTGTGTGCGGCTGCTCGGCCATGGAAACCCATTTCATGAATCTCCTGACGAACAGTTCTTGTGCTGACGTTGCTTCCAGAGGCAGTTTGGAACTCAGTAGTGAGTGTTGCAACCGAGGACAGACAATATTTTACGCGCTACACGCTTCAGCGGTACCGTTATGTGTGCTTGTGTGGCCTCCTAGACGTTTCCACTTCACTATAACAGCACTTACAGTTGACCGGGGCAGCTCTAGCAGGGCAGAAATTTGTTGGAAAGGTCGCATCCTATGATGGTGCCACGTTGAAGGTTACTTTAGTAAGGCCATTCTACTGCCAATGTTTGACTATGGAGATTGCATGGCTGTGTGCTCGATTTTATACACTTGTCAGCAACGGGTGTGGCTGAAATAGTTGAATCCACTAATTTGAAGGGGTGGCCACATACCTTTGTATATATAGTGTCTATTTTTTTTCCCCCCAGCGCATTGGGTGTTTTCCCGAAGCAGGTAATTAAATATGACCCTTCTCTGTATAATTACTTCAGGCGGCAGGTAGCTTAGTGGTTAAGACCGTAGTGCCAGTAACTGAAAGGTCGCTGGTTCTAATCCCCGAGCCGACTAGGTGAAAAATCTGTCGATGTGCCCTTGAGCAAGGCACTTAACCCTAATTGCTCCTGTAAGTCGCTCTGGATAAGAGTGTCTGCTAAATGACTAAAATGTCAAATGTAATGTAATTTATCATCATCATTCAGCCTCTATAGAATTGGATTGCTAATGAACACAAACTATACAGTAGGGCCGGGACAACACCAGTATCGCGATACTCGTTAGTATCGCGGCAAGGAAAACAGCCCTAATGTTGGAAACAAACGTCATTATGTTGTCATCCAGTCACATTTATTTTCCAAGCTATAGCACACAATATATTACATACAGCAGGTTTTTAAAGGACCAAAGAGTTTGGTCTGCTAAGGTTGTTTGGTCTGCTAAGGTTGCCCTACTATAGAGCGTATGAAAAAGCGATATGATCATCCACATCAATTAGATCACACACGTCAAACACACCCAGTATATTAGCCAATCAGCTTAAGTGTTTTGTTGCTATGTTCAGGAGTGCAGAATCCAGTCTAGAACAAGGCTCTGCACTAATTATGATGTTTTGGACTGTAAAGTGGGTATTAGTGAGGTTGATATATTTCTGATTTATTTTATAGGCTGATCATATGTGTATGGAAGAGGTGGCTTAACGTGTGTGTTTTCCTGTGTGTGTTCCTGGGTGTGTTTCTGTGTATTAAGCTGGACTCCTTTTCCTGCGTATCTTAACATCTGTCACCTCTCCAAACGCACCCAAGGCACCCAAGAAAAGCATTAGTGGTGGTGTGTGCTGGTATGTGGTGTGTGGTGTGTGTGGTGTGTGTGTGTGTGGTGTGTGCGTGTCTGTGTGTCTGAGAGAATGCCTGTCTGTGTGAATAGTGATCAGAAGATAATTTGACTGTGAGTCAGTGTGTATAATATTTCTCAACGATGGAAACAAACACATGGATCACAATAATGCAAACACACACACACACCACCACTAATGCTTTTCTTGGGATGCCTTTTCTTTCTCTATATCATCTCTCTCTCTCACCATCGCTGCATTCTTCATCCCTTTTTCTCTTATTCAATCTCCTCTATTTTCTTCATTTCCTCTCACATTTTACATTTTAGTCATTTAGCAAACACTCTTATCCAGAGCGACTTACAGTTAGTTAGTGCATACATTATTATTATTATCCACTCAGGAGGTTAACATGTAGTTTTGTTTTACTTCATAGAAGAGAAAGTTAAGTAACCTGGGCATTCATGTCGTCTTTCTCTTGGACCAGAAAATAATTGTGTAGAACAGACTCACAGATAATTATCCACATCTTACAAAGCAACAAATAATTTCTTCTTTGTTTAAGTTCTAGACATTACATTTCTATCTGATTGAACAGAAGCCATAACGTGTTTCTCTCACCTCCTCCCATTCAGCGGTGAAGGAGGGTGTTCTCTCTAGCTGTGCCCCAGGATTGGTGGTGTCCCCTGGGCTAGGGCTTCCTCCCGGCCCCTGGCCCCTAGCCCCCGACCCCCAGTGGTGCTCCTCCTGAAAGAGACAGTCAACATACTGTCCATTACATCTACGTTTAATAGATCCATCAATTGGATCAATACCATTTATCAAGTTGGACAACTGTCTGTGGGTTGAAGCAAATTCTGAGGTGAGATCTGTAACTTTTATTCCCCCAATGGTAAACAAAAAACAAACAAACGGTTACATTTACCAAGTCCCACCCTCTCAGTGTAATAAGCTTGGGGCAGCGCTTTTGACCGCAATTAACTTTACACCTGACATTTCACACAGGACAAACAGGGAATGTTAAAAATTACAGCACTGTTTCTACATTAAAATGGTATATAAACACGACAACAGAATATACCTGTATGGGCGACACAGCCACCAGGTTGGAGTCAGACTTGGACAGTGACTTGGAGAGCTGTAGGTCCAGCACACTGCGAGGTATAGATCTCATCCTGCCCAGGGTAAAGGCCCTCTCCTCGTACCCAGGCCCCGGTGCCCCCTCCCTTGGTACGCCAGCTCCCGACACACCCCCCCTCACCACCACCACCTCCCCGTTCCGACCATACAGCGACAAGAAGGAGGGCGAGGCGCTCTGGGGGTTCTGGTTAACCCGGGTGTGGAAGATGGTGCGATAGACTACCTGAGGTTTGGGGGGTCTGTCGTCTTTGAGGGGGTCTTTGGGGGTCTTCAGAGCCAACGCCTCGTTTCCTGTGTGAGGGATGATGAGGGGCGGTGACAGTCCAACTCCTAATTCAGGGGGCTGGGTTACCGAAGTGAGGTTGCTGTGGTTACCGAGCGTGGTTACCGGGCTGGTGTGGGGGTCCGAGGGGGTGTGTTTTCGGGGTTTGGGGTTGGTGTTGGAGTTGTAAAGGTGGTAGGGTGTGTCGGGCGTCTCACAGGCCGGCGAGGAGCCGTGGAGGAGGCCGGCGAACTCTACGGGGACGCGGCTCTGTCGCCGGTCGTCTGGTAGTTGGAGTGTATTGGAAGAGGGGGGGGTGGTCCTGCTGGTACGGCCCGTCGTCTGAGGAGAGAAAACACACAGACACACAAGTTAATGTTGGAGTGCACCACACACACATTCCAGGTCCAACACACATACACATACCCACATACTTGCACACAGTAACCAATCTTATAAGATCTCCCTCTCGCTCTCTCTCTAGCTAACATGGAGACAGTAAAAGGTGTACCACACCCATACCATACCCATACCATAACATACCACACCATAACCATACCACACCCATACCATACCACACCATAACAATACCATACTACACCCATACCATAACCATACCATACCAATATCATACCATACCAAACCACACCCATACCATATCATACCACACCCATACCACACCCATAACCATACCAAACCATAACCACACAATACTACACCCATACCATACCCATACCATAACCATACCATATTACACCCATTCCATACCATACCCATACCATACTAATCTAGAAAAACACACAACAATACAGAGGAAAGAGGATATATGTTAAGACAATGAAAAGATAACAACTAGAGACAAACACATCAGAATCAGGATTAGAGAGAGAGAGAGAGAGAGAGAGAGAGAGAGAGAGAGAGAGATAGAGAGAGAGAGAGATAGAGAGATAGAGAGAGAGACAGAAAGATATCTAGAGCTCTCTCTAATCTCTAGCGACAGCGCCGCTCCAGGCAATCGATACCGCCCGCGCTCCAGCGCTACTTTACCCCAGCTCTTCGACCACTCTCAGATCCCTCCCAATCTCTCTAGTCCTTGCTATCGCTCTCTGCGCGTTTCTAGAAGGACATCGATCGATGAGAGATACACGAGATAGAGAGATAGAGAGAGTACCGACAGAGAGACAGACGACAGAGAGAGGAGAGTAATCGAGAGACAGTCAGAGATACAGACAGAAAGAGAGGAGCACAGAGGGAGATAGACAGAAAAGAGAGAGAGCGGGAGAGAGAGAGCGGGAGATAGATGACATCTATCCTGATCTATCCAGTACGACTAGCCGAGCTATAACAGATCAAGAGACAAGAGCTAGAAGAGATAGACAGAACAACAGAGCGACAGAGAGAACAAGAGAGAGAGACAGAGACAGAGACAGAGTAAGAGAGACGAGAGAGATAGAGAGAGAGAGAGAGAGAGAGAGAGAAGAATGATAGAGGGAAACATACATCTGCTGCTGCCCTGTCAAGATGCAGGCTCCTCAATGTGGCTACGGTACACACCACACAGACAACTCCTTACACAGATCTTACATGGCTGCCTGGTCAACATCACTGTGTGTGTGTATGTGTGTGTCTGTGGGACTGTGTATGCATGTATTATGTGTGTGTGAGAGAGAAAGAGAGAGAGAGAGAGAGAGAGAGAGGAGAGAGAGAGAGAGAGAGAGAGAGAGAGAGAGAGAGAGAGAGAGAGAGAGAGAGAGAGAGAGAGAGCATTTGTGATGTATCAGTGTGTCTGGCCCATTGACTGAGTTCTATGAGGTGTACTTAGAGCCAAATGGATGCTTTGAGGGACACAGCCCCTGTCTGTGTGCAGTGGGGTGAAATAAGGAATGGGAGACAGAGAGAGGAGTCTTTCTGGTCTGACTCAGAAAGAGAGCTGGCCCATATATATATGTGTGTGTGTGTGTGTGTGTGTGTGTGTGTGTGTGTGTGTGTGTGTGTGTGTGTGTGTGTGTGTCTGCCCGGGGGTGGTGTACGGTGTACTATTTAGTCTTCGTGCACGTACAGTGTCATCCTGAGGTCGCTGAGTACATTTTCCTCCAATTCAAAATTCTAAAGCTTTATTGTCCATTTTCATACACTCACTGCCCTACTACAATATTCACCACAGATTCACAATGAGATTTGAGAGAGATTAAACTCAACAAACAGACAAACAGATATACAGGCAAACAAAGCTGTGTGTATTAGCGTGTGTAATATCAGTGAGTAATACTATGATCTTTGATCAGCAGGACAACATGGTGTGTGTGTGTGTGTGTGTGTGTGTGTGTGTGTGTGTGTGTGTGTGTGTGTGTGTGTGTGTGTGTGTGTGAGTGTGTGTGTGTGTGTGTGTCTGCATGTGTGTATAACCAAGTGTAATAATGCGGTACAATCCGACAATACCATGGTGGATACACAGATAATTACACAGTAAAGCTCTGAGAGGGAGACTGACTGTTACTGGATCTCACATGAGTCTGTTGGTTCTAATAATATAATTGGAGAATGTTATGCACATATGCATCTTTTAATCTATAAATACATCAAAGGATTAGTCATTAGCTGGATATATCAGGGGAGATGCTGGTGCCAGGAAATGGATGAAGGACTGGTGTGTGTGTGTGTGTGTGTGTGTGTATATACACTAGTGTGTGTGTGTGTGTGTAGAAACATGACTTTATCCACATTTTGTTTTGTTACAGCCTTATTCTAAAATGGATTAAATTGTTATTTTTCCCCCTCACCAATCTACACACAATACCCCATAATGACAAAGCAAAAACAGTTTTTTAGAAATTTTTGCAAATGCATTAAAAATAAAAAACAGAAATATCACATTTACATAAGTATTCAGACCCTTTACTCAGTACTTTGTTGAAGCACCTTTGGCAGTGATTACAGCCTTGAGTTTTCTTGGGTATGATGCTACAAGCTTGGCACACCTGTATTTGGGGAGTTTCTCCCATTCTTCTCTGCAGATCCTGTAAAGCTCTGTCAGGTTGGATGAGGAGCGTCGCTGCACAGCTATTTTCAGGTCTCTCCAGAGATGTTCGATCGGATTCAAGTCCAGGCTCTGGCTGGGGTACTCAAGGACATTCAGAGACTTGTCCCGAAGCCACTCCTGCATTGTCTTGGCTGTGTGCTTAGGGACGTTGTCCTGTTGGAAGGTGAACCTTCGCCCTAGTCTGAGGTCCTGAGCGGTCTGGAGCAGGTTTTCATCAAGGATCTCTCTGTACTTTGCTCCGTTCATCTTTCCCCCGATCCTGACTAGTCTCCCAGCCCCTGCCACTGAAAAACATCCCCACAGCATGATGCTGCCATCACCATGCTTCACCGTAGGTATGGTGCCAGGTTTCCTCCAGCCGTGATGCTTGGCATTCAGGCCAAACAGCTCAATCTTGGTTTCATCAGACCAGAGAATCTTGTTTCTCATGGTCTGAGAGTCCTTTAGGTGCTTTTTGGCAAACTCAAAGCGGGCTGTCATGTTCCTTTTACTGAGGAGTGGCTTCCGTCTGGCCACTCTACCATAAAGGCCTGATTGGTGGAGTGCCTCAGAGATGGTTGTCCTTCTGGAAGGTTCTCCCATCTCCACAGAGGAACTCTGGAGAGTGATCATCTGGTTCTTGGTCACCTCCCTGACCAAGGCCCTTCTCCCCTGATTGCTCAGTTTGGCTAGGCGGCCAGCTCTAGGAAGAGTCTTGATGGTTCCAAACTTCTTCCACTTAAGAATGATGGAGGCCACTGTGTTCTTGGGGACCTTCAAAGCTGCAGAAATGTTTTGGTACCCTTCCCCAGATCTGTGCCTCGACACAATCCTGTCTCGGAGCTCTACGGACAATTCCTTCCACCTCATGGCTTGGTTTTTGCTCTGACATGCACTGTCAACTGTGGGACCTTATATAGACAGGTGTGTGCCTTTCAAAATCATGTCCAATCAATTGAATTTACCACAGGTGGACTCCAATCAAGTTGTAGAAACATCTCAAGGATGATCAATGAAAACAGGATGCACCTGAGCTCAATTTCGAGTCTCATAGCAATGGGACTGTATACTTATGTAAATCAGGTATTTCTGTTTTTTATTCTTAATACATTAGCAAAAATGTCTAAAAACCTGTTTTCGCTTTGTGATTATGGGGTATTAATTTAATCCATTTTAGAATAAGGCTGTAACGTAACAAAATGTGGAAAAAGTCAAGGGGTCGGAATACTTTCCGAATAAACTGTATATATACAGTCTCTAGAGAGAGAGCGCGAGAGAGACATATATTTATCTATCCAAGTTGAAGTATCCTTCTCTCTCCTTCGTCTGACCCATGCTGAATTTATATCAATGGATCATTTTTGATTCAGGACTGAAGAGCAGTTTGTGTGTGCGCATCTTTCTGTGTGTCTCAGTGAGCCCTGCTCTCTCTCCCTGGCTGCTGTTAGAGTGTGTTAAGACTGTGTACCAGCCCCTAAACTCTCTCCACTGATAATCATCACATTACTAACACTCACTAAGCGAGAGAGAGACAGAGCGAGAGAGAGAGTGAGAGAGAGAGCGAGAGAGAGCGAGAGAGAGAGCGAGAGAGAGAAAACAATTACAGTTTTTCTCAATTGCTAAAACACTAAAACCCATTGGCTGAACAAAGTTCTCAGTTGCCTGGACTCATTTAGGTAATTATGTAGTCTGTTGTCAATACCTTAAACCATTTCACATGGTAAAACACAATTTGCAGATCTCACTTAGACTTTTCAGCAAAACTCTAAACACATTCTCATTCTCAAAACACATTCTGCACTCTAATGCACATCTCATCCATACTGGTATACACAAGTGGCAACAATGAAATACAAATAGAGAACACATGTCATTGATTGAACACAACCACTCAAAATTGATTTAACCTGTTTCAAATGATGCGACACAACCATCATAAGCCAGTTCAGAGAGCAAACAGGTTGTTGAAGGTGGGAAGGAGAAAGTCTGAGAATGGATAGAAGAAACAATGTGAGAGGACGAGGACGAGTGCGTATGCGAGGTGGGCGACGAGGAGGAAGAGGAGGAGGAGGGCAAGAAAGAGGAAGAGGAGGACGAAGAGGAAGACAACGAGTGGAAATATCTGATGAAATTCGAGCAACAGTCATAGACCATGTTCTTGTCCATGGACTGACAATGAGGGAAGCAGGACTTAGAGTGCAACCCAATTTGAGCCGATTTTCTGTGTCCACCATAGTAAGGACATTCAGAGAAGAGAACAGGTACAGTATACTACTGTATTTTTGTCCCTTTTAGTATTGTATACTGTAGTACAGTGCATTGTAGGCTGTATACTGTACAATGGACAAATTGTATGGCCCTGAACATTGTAATTTCCATTTGTTAACAGTACTGACTGCTCAATAGATTTTGACTGGTTGCAGGTTCATATCAACAAATAACAAGAATTACAGTATCACATAGACAAAGGACAAGTTTGTGAGATGCAGGGTACAGTACTGTAAAAATAGGGGTACAAGGAGGAGGAAGAACAAAAAACAAAATTGCAAAGAGCAAAGCAGAGTAGTAATTTCTGATCAATTTTGAGCTACTATGATAGAACACGTTTTCCTTCATCAAAAGACAATGACGGAAAAATATGAAATTTGTTTTGAGATTAAAAATGTACTTCTCCCTGAGAACTGTATGTTTTGAACAATGTGTTTTCTATTTTTCGGTGTATTGTTTACTGACTGCTTGAGAGTGTATATCATTTTGATCACTTTGTTTATGATTTGAGAGCAGTGTTTGATTTTGAACACAGGTAAAACTGTTTTGAGGCGAATGTTTCATTTTGTGAGAGGAGTCAGAGGTTTTGTAAATAGTGCTTGAAGATTAGGTTTTGTGTTTAATGTTTTCAGGAAATGGAGCAAGGTTTCAGAAATTGTGTTTTAGCAATTGAGAAAAACTGTAAAGTGGGAGAGAGATAAGGGAGACGAGAGACAGACCCCAGAAAGAGAGAGAGACACACAGAGAGAGAGCGAGAGACACAGAGAGAGAGAGAGAGAGAGAGAGAGAGAGAGAGAGAGAGAGGAGAGAGAGAGAGGAGAGAGAGAGAGAGGATAGGAGAAGAGAGAGAGAGAGAGAGAGAGGACAGAGACAGAGACCAGACAGAGAGAGAAGAGAGAGAGAGAGAGAGAGAGAGAGAGAAAGAGAGAAAGAGAGAAAGAGAGAGAAAGAGTGTGTAGATGTAGTTGTAACCACAGAAGTAACCCCAAGACATCATCAAATAAGTGTCTACGTCTTTCATTGCCACAGCTCCTGTATATGGGCATTCAGAAGGTGGCAAACGTGTCATTCTCTGTCGCATGTCTTGCCAAAGTATTCATCCCCCTTGGCGTGTTTCCTATTTTGTTGCATTACAACCTGTAATTTAAATGGATTTTCATTTGGATTTCATGTAATGGTGATGTAGAAATTAAAATATATACAGGTTAAAAATAATGACTAAATGTTCCACCCTTAAAAATAGTTGTGAAATGTTCTTGTTTTAAGTATGATTAGTACTTTCTTAGTAGTGACTAATTATTATACTCCGAAACTGTGTGAGATGTGTTAGAATCTACTACCTGGTAATGTGTGAGTGTAGGACCAGTAAAGACTATGATATTGAGCTACTATTTAGCAATGTGAGTAAGAGTTAGACCAGACAACAAAGGACAGGGAGAGCTGTCTACAGACAACTGAGAAACCAAGATAAAGAGGCCTCCCAATTTAGGGAGGAGAGAAACTGTTAGGCTTTTTAAGGAGTATGAATCATGGTGCAGCATATTGTGAGAACGGCGATACCTGAGGAATGCAGGGAGTAGGCTATGATAAGAAAGTGTGTGTGTGAACTGATGGTCAGGAGAGCAATTATAAAGTGGAAAACCGGGAGCCTGCCTAAAGAGGGGAGGAATTTTTGTATGACGTATGAGTATAAAATATGGACTCTGAAATTGTGATGGTGGAATTCTCAATGAATAAACATCTCTGACTATGCAGACCGGGACTCTGTCTGTTTCTTGATTTTGGGAGACGCACAGAGACACTGAAATAGTTTGTTAAATAATTCACATAACAAATGGACATACACAAAATAGTCCAAATTGGTGAAGTGAAATGAAAAAATAACTTAACCTCTAAAAAATGAAAAACGGAAAAGTGGTGTGTGTATACAGTGGGGAAAAAAGTATTTAGTCAGCCACCAATTGTGCAAGTTCTCCCACTTAAAAAGATGAGAGAGGCCTGTAATTTTCATCATAGGTACACGTCAACTATGACAGACAAAATGAGAGAAAAAAAATCCAGAAAATCACATTGTAGGATTTTTAATGAATTGATTTGCAAATTATGGTGGAAAATAAGTATTTGGTCAATAACAAAAGTTTCTCAATACTTTGTTATATACCCTTTGTTGGCAATGACACAGGTCAAACGTTTTCTGTAAGTCTTCACAAGGTTTTCACACACTGTTGCTGGTATTTTGGCCCATTCCTCCATGCAGATCTCCTCTAGAGCAGTGATGTTTTGGGGCTGTCGCTGGGCAACACAGACTTTCAACTCCCTCCAAAGATTTTCTATGGGGTTGAGATCTGGAGACTGGCTAGGCCACTCCAGGACCTTGAAATGCTTCTTACGAAGCCACTCCTTCGTTGCCCGGGCGGTGTGTTTGGGATCATTGTCATGCTGAAAGACCCAGCCACGTTTCATCTTCAATGCCCTTGCTGATGGAAGGAGGTTTTCACTCAAAATCTCACGTTACATGGCCCCATTCATTCTTTCCTTTACACGGATCAGTCGTCCTGGTCCCTTTGCAGAAAAACAGCCCCAAAGCATGATGCTTTCACCCCAATGCTTCATAGTAGGTATGGTGTTCTTTGGATGCAACTCAGCATTCTTTGTCCTCCAAACACGACGAGTTGAGTTTTTACCAAAAAGTTATATTTTGGTTTCATCTGACCATATGACATTTTCCCAATCCTCTTCTGGATGCACTCTAGCAAACTTCAGACGGGCCTGGACATGTACTGGCTTAAGCAGGGGGACACGTCTAGCACTGCAGGATTTGAGTCCCTGGCGGCGTAGTGTGTTACTGATGGTAGGCTTTGTTACTTTGGTCCCAGCTCTCTGCAGGTCATTCACTAGGTCCCCCCGTGTGGTTCTGGGATTTCTGCTCACCGTTCTTGTGATCATTTTGACCCCACGGGGTGAGATCTTGCATGGAGCCCCAGATCGAGGGAGATTATCAGTGGTCTTTGTATGTCTTCCATTTCCTAATAATTGCTCCCACAGTTGATTTCTTCAAACCAAGCTGCTTACCTATTGCAGATGCAGTCTTCCCAGCCTGGTGCAGGTCTACAATTTTGTTTCTGGTGTCCTTTGACAGCTCTTTGGTCTTGGCCATAGTGGAGTTTGGAGTGTGACTGTTTGAGGTTGTGGACAGGTGTCTTTTATACTGATAACAAGTTCAAACAGGTGCCATTAATACAGGTAACGAGTGGAGGACAGAGGAGCCTCTTAAAGAAGAAGTTACAGGTCTGTGAGAGCCATAAATCTTGCTTCTTTGTAGGTGACCAAATACTTATTTTCCACCATAATTTGCAAATAAATTCATTAAAAATCCTACAATGTGATTTTCTGTAAAAAAAAATCTCAATTTGTCTGTCATAGTTGACGTGTACCTATGATGAAAATTACAGGCCTCTCTCATCTTTTTAAGTGGGAGAACTTGCACAATTGGTGGCTGACTAAATACTTTTTTTCCCCACTGTATGTATTCACCCCCTTTGCTATGAAGCCCTAAATAGATCTGGTGCAACCAATTCCCTTCAGAAGTTACATAATTAGTTTAAATAAAGTCCACCTGTGTGCAAATCTAAGTGTCACATGATCTGTCACATGATCTCAGTATATATACACCTGTTCTGAAAGGCCCCCAGAGTCTGCAACACCACTAAGCAAGGGGCACCACCAAGCAAGCAGCACCATGAAGACCAAGGAGCTCTCCAAACAGGTCAGGGACAAAGTTGTGGAGAAGTACAGATCAGGGTTGGGTTATAAAAAAACATCAGAAACTTTGAACATCCCACAGAGCACCATTAAATCCATTATTAAAAAATGAAAAGAATATGGCACCACAACAAACCTGCCAAGAGAGGGCCGTCCACCAAAACAAAGAGACCAAAGATAACCCTGAAGGAGCTGCAAAGCTCCACAGCGGAGATTGGAGTATTTGTCCATAGGACCACGTTAAGCCGTACACTCCACAGAGCTGGGCTTTACGGAAGAGTGGCCAGAAAAAAGCCATTGCTTAAAGAAAAAAATTAGCAAAACACGTTTGGTGTTCGCCAAAAGGCATGTGGGAGACTCCCCAAACATATGGAAGAAGGTACTCTGGTCAGATTAGACTAAAATTGAGCTTTTTGGCCATCAAGACAAATGCTATGTCTGGTGCAAACCCAACAGCTCTAATCACCCCGAGAACACCATCCCCACAGTGAAGCATGGTGGTGGCAGCATCATGCTGTGGGGATGTTTTTCATCGGCAGGGACTGGGAAACTGGTCAGAATTGAAGGAATTATGGATGGCGCTAAATAAAGGGAAATTCATGAGGGAAACCTGTTTCAGTCTTCCAGAGATTTGAGACTGGGACGGAGGTTCACCTTCCAGCAGGACAATGACCCTAAGCATACTGCTAAAGCAACACTCGAGTGGTTTAAGGGGAAACATTTAAATGTCTTGGAATGGCCTAGTCAAAGCCCAGACCTCAATCCAATTGAGAATCTGTGGTATGACTTAAAGATTGCTGTACACCAGTGGAACCCATCCAACTTGAAGAATGGGCAAAAATCCCAGTGGTTAGATGTGCCAAGCTTATAGAGATATACACCAAGAGACTTGCAGCTGTAATTGCTGCAAAAGGTGGTTCTACAAAGTATTGACTTTGGGGGGGTTATGCACGCTCAAGTTCAGTTTTTTTGTCTTATTTCTTGTTTGTTTCACAAGCAAAAATATTTTGCATCTTCAAAGTCGTAGGCATGTTGTGTAAATCAAATGATACAACCCCCCCAAAAATCCATTTTAATTCCAGGTTTTAAGGCAACAAAATAGGAAAAATGCCAAGGGAGGTGAATACTTTCGCAAGCCAATGTACCAACGAAATGGCGAGGACACTAGAACAGTCTGCAGCACCCGGCCTCATCCTACTTGAATCTGAAGTCAAATGTCTATGGTTTGCTGATGATCTGGTGCTTCTGTCCCCAACCAAGGAGAGCCTAGCGCAGCACCTAGATTTTCTGCACACATTCTGTCAGACCTGGGCCCTGACAGTAAATCTCAGTAAGACAAAAATAATGGTGTCCAAAAAAGGTCCAGTTGCCAGGACCACAAATACAAATTCCATCTAGACACCGCTGCCCTAGAGCACACAAAAAACTATACATACCTCAGCCTAAACATCAGCACCAAAGCTGTGAACGATCTGAGAGACAAGGCAAGAAGGGCCTTCTATGCCATCAAAAGGAACATACAATTTGACATAGCAATTAGGATCTGGCTAAAAATACTTGAATCAGTTATAGAACCCATTGCCCTTTATGGTTGTGAAGTCTGGGGTCCGCTCACCAACCAAGAATTCACAAAATTGGACGAACACCAAATTGAGACTCTGCATGCAGAATTCTGCAAAAATATCATCTGTGTACAATGTAAAACACCTAATAATGCATGCAGAGCAGAATTAGGCCGATACCCGCTAATTATCAAAATCCAGAAAAGAGCTGTTAAATTCTACAACCACCTAAAAGGAAGTGATTCCCAAACCTTACATAACAAAGCCATCACCTATAGAAAGATGAACCTGGAGAAGAGTCCTGGGGCTCTGTGCACAAACACAAACAGACCCCCAATTAGACCCAACCAAATCATGAAAAAACAAAAAGATAATTACTTGACACATTTGAAAGAATCAACAAAAAAACTGAGCAAAGTAGAATGCTATTTGGCCCTAAACAGACAGTACACAGTGGCAGAATACCTGACCACTGTGACTGACCCAAACTTAAGGAAAGCTTTGACTACATACCGACTCAGTGAGCATTGCCTTGCTATTGAGAAAGGCCGCCATAGGCAGACCTGGCTCTCAAGAGAAGACAGGCTATGTGCACACTGTCCACAAAATGAGGTGGAAACTGAGCTGCACTTCCTAACCTCCTGCCAAATGTATGACCATAACAGAGACACATATTTCCCTCAGATTACACAGACCCACAAAGATTTTGAAAACAAATCCAATTTTGATAAACTCCCATATCTATTGGGTGAAATACCAGTGTGCCATCACAGCAGCAAGATTTGTGACCTGCTGCCACAAGAAAAGGGCAACCAGTGAAGAACAAACACCATTGTAAATTTGTGACCTGCTGCCACAAGAAAAGGGCAACCAGTGAAGAACTAAACACCATTGTAAATACAACCCATATTTATGTTTATTTATTTTCCCTTTTGTACTTGAACTATTTGCACATAATATGACATTTGAAATGTCTTTATTCTTTTTGAACTTTTGTGAGTGTAATGTTTACTGTTAATTTTTTATTGTTTATTTCACTTTTGTTTGTTATCTATTTCACTTGCTTTGGCAATGTAAACATATGTTTCCCATGCCAATAAAGCCCCTTAAATTGAATTGAAATTGAGAGAGAGAGAGATGAGCAACATCTGATCTAGAAACAGTAGAAAGAACAGCGGAGAGATGAACGGAAGGTAAACGAAAACCGATCCACACACGTAGGGAGGAGAGGAGCAAACTACTGTTCAGCCCTGAATCAAAAACGATCCATCGATATAAACACAGCATGAGTCAGACGAAGGAAAGAGAAAGATACCTGAACTTGGATAGATCTCTCTCTCTCTCTCTCTCTCTCTCTCTCTCTCTCTCTCTCTCCTTTTATTCCATGTTTCTATTCCTCCCTCTGTCCTCTGTCCTCTGTCCTCTGTCCTCTGTGTGTGTGTCTTACCTCAGGTCACCTCCTAGCGTGGACTAGGCAGCTGTTAACCCATAATGTCAATAGTCCATCAGTTATGGTATTACCGTCAAACCTTGCATCACACACTGAGTCCCACTACTGAAATATGCTTACAAGTACACACCCAGTCTTACAACTACACACCCAGTCTGAGACATGATAGGGCTTCTGTTGCACCACACAGCATACCTGCACACCTCGCGGTACATGCATAGGCGCACACACACACACACACACACACACACACACACACACACACACACACACTTAAACACACAAGTCCTATCATGCAGCAGAAAACTCAGCTCAGACACTGATTGGTATTTGGATTAGTAGTCTTCCTGATGACAGTTGACAGATAACCACAGTAACGTATGTGTATTTATGTGTGTGTAAGTGCTCACGTGTGTGTGTGAGACAGACAATAGCAGGCCCTTACTGTAATGTATTTACAATTCCAGAAACGTAGTTAAACCACCACATAATGGCCTTCTCTTCCATGACCCTCCCACCCACAACCATGTTCTTCTACCACTCCCACCAGGAAAGAGAGAAGGATGGAAAAGGATGAATGAGAGATGAAACAGGAACTAGAGAGAGTGCAGCTGAGGTGGGAAAAAATGGGGGACGACGCAAAACGAAAGCGAGAGAGGATGCCCTTTTCTCCTCTCTTTCTGTCCTTCCCTCTTCCCTCACTTTTCTCCTCCGTCTGGGCAGGTGTTGTTGACGATTGCGTGCCCCCGCCCCCGCGAGATTAAAGAGGGGACATGTTTTTAAATTTTTGTTAAACAAATGTTACGCCCCCCGTATTGAGCAAGGCCCGTTTTGCCAAGTATAGGGCCCTCCCTTACTTGAGGCTGTTTTAGAGCTTTCCTGGGCTGGCCAAAAAGGAGGGAGGAAAGAGGAGAGGGAGGGAGGGAGAAATAAGAGAGAGAGAGGGAGGAAAAAATGAAGGCAGAAAAGAGAGTGAGTGAGAGTTTAAGAAATGAAATTGATGGTGAGAGTAGCAAAATTTTGATTGCATCCTTGTTGCCAATAAACTTTTTAATTGAATGAAATTTTAGCTTCTGTGAGCCAGAAGAGGAGAAGAAGCCGTAAGGAGAAAAACAGCAATGAAGGAGAACAACGGCCAAGGAGAAGACCGGAAAAGGGATAAAGGAGTGAGAAGGAAACAAGAAAAACACGGGAGCGAGGGATGGGGGGGGAAGGGAAACCAGGGGGCGGGGGATTAAGGAGAAAAAACAAGAGAGTGTGAAGGGGTGAGTGAGAGTGTTAAGAACAAGAGAAGTACGGGAGTGGTGGAGAGAGGAGGGGGGAAATGAAGTGATGAAGAAAAAGAGCAGGTAGATGCAGATTAAAAAAGTTGGGGGGAAAAAAACCAAAAAAAAGTGAGATTGGAGAAAGAGAAGAGAAGACATGAGAAGGGGAGGAAAAGTGGCTGAGCAGCAGGAGCCCAAAAAATACAAGAAGGATAAGCAAGGTAGAATAAGAGTATACAAAAAAAGGGGGAAAAAAGGGGAGAAAAAATTTGGGAGAGAGAGCCCCCAAAAAACCCCCCCCAAAAAGGGGGGGGGGGGGGGGGTGGGGGGGGTTTTTTTTTTTTTTGGGGGGTTTGGGGGGGGGGTCAAAAAGGGGGGTTTTTTGGGGGGTTTTTTGGGGGAAGGAGTGAATGAGTGTAGAGGGAGGAGAAGAAGAGGGAGATGAGAGAGAGAGGAAGGAGAGAGAGGGAGAGAGGAGAGAAGGAGGAAGCCGCGGCAAGAGCACTACAGAAGAGTATTATAGCAGGTATGGTAGCCAGTAGTATTAGTTAGTATTATTCTCAGTGTAGTCTATGACGGAACATTGAGTTCTTGGTGCAAGGGTCAGCAGCTATGCACAATACACCCACAATCACAACTCCCATAATCAAAAGAGATTGCTGTGACCAAAAATCCTGTTGAGTCGCCGAACAGTTTTGGCTATACTAGAACTGTGACTGTGCTACAAGATTGATACACTGACTCTCCACCGTGGAATGAAACTGACCAAATATTCTCAAGGTTTTTTCAAAATACATTTTCTCTAAACAAATCAACATAATACGAGTTCTGTCAGTCCATAGAGAAAAACCCCAGACATGCATGCACATACCGGTAGACACACACGCACGCTCAATTTCATTCCATTTATAATACATTGGGGTGTTATCCTGTCTAAAGGTGGGGGGATGGGGGGTGACAACATCTGATACAATCTTGTTTATTTTTCTATCTCGGGCGCGGCGACTCGTTGAGCTTATTAAAAACTACAGCGCAATATCAGACGTGTCAGTCATCCTTTAGATGAAAGGGGCCTGCCTGGCTGCTTTATGAATTATGATTTGCTTTGTGCTGCTGCAGCCTGGCGCTAGGCTAATGGCGCTAGGCTAATGGCGCTAGGCTAATAGCGCTAGGCTTATGGCGCTAGGCTAATGCTACACTAACATGCTACTTGATGTAAACATGACTTCTAAGTGAGAAAGACTTCTGCTAATGTAGCAGGAATTCCTTGGTCTTATCTGGTCTTATCTGAGGCTTGTGTTAGCGCCACGAGCTAGTGCCTAGGCTAGAAACATTAAAAAGCCATAACCTAGCCTGCAACAAAGTTATAGCGTTACATGCTAAATGCAATTCATATCTCCCATATAAAGTGCTAGCGTCACGCTAACATGTGTAAACAGGTCTTCCATAGCAGCACCAGTCACCTTAGGGGGGAGAAGAAAGATTAAAGTAGACCCTTGTTGTTGTGTAGGCTACATTCCTTCATGTGTGATAGCCCTGAGAATCTATCTAGACTACCTAGACCGAGAGGGGAACCACAGGGACTGTGAGGAGATATTGAATTCACACTTTCATTCTTGCTCTTTGTATGAGGGGATATCGCCACGGCAACCAGTTTATCCCCCACTGGCAGTGCATAACCCATTTTGTCATCGAGTCCCCTGACAACTGTTTCTGGGAAACAGGATGCAATTGTGATGTAAGGAATAAGAGTTAGCTTTTTGGGGGGAATGATGTAAAAGAGACACAAATATACACTACCAGTGAAAAGTTTGGACAAACCTACTCATTCAAGGGTTTTTCTTTATTTTTACTATTTTCTACATTGTAGAATAATAGTGAAGACATCAAAACTATGAAATAACACAAATGGAATCATGTAGTAACCAAAAAAGTGTTAAACAAATTAAAATTGATTCTTTAAAGTAGCCACCCTTTGCCTTGATGACAGCTTTGCACACTCTTGGCATTCTCTCAACCAGCTATGATGAAACTGGCTCTCATGAGGACCAGAGTTACCTCTGCTGCAGAGGATAAGTTCATTAGAGTTACCAGCCTCAGAAATTGTAGGCCAAATAAATGCTTTACAGAGTTCAAGTCACAGACACATCTCAACATCAACTGTTCAGAGGACACTGCGTGAATCAGACCTTCATGGTCGAATTGCTGCAAAGAAACCACTACTAAAGGACACCAATAAGAAGAAGAGACTTGCTTGGGCCAAGAAACACGAGCAATGGACATTAGACCGGTAGAAATCTATCCTTTGGTCTGATGAGTCCAAATTGGAGATTTGTGATTCCAACCGCCGTGTCTTTGTGAGACGCAAAGTAGGTGAACGGATTATCTCTGCATGTGTGTTTTCCACCGTGAAGCATGGAGGAGGAGGTGTGATGGTGCTTTGCTGGTGACACTGTCTGTAATTTATTTAGAATTCAAGGCACACTTAACCAGCATGGCTACCACAGCATTCTGCAGCGATACGTCATCCCATCTGGTTTGCGCTTAGTGGGACTATAATTTGTTTTTCAACAGGACAATGACCCAACACACCTCCAGGCTGTGTAAGGGCTATTTGACCAAGAAGGAGAGTGATGGTGCTGCATCAGATGACCTGGCCTCCACAATCACCTGACCTCAACCCAATTGAGATGGTTTGAGATTATTTGGACCGCAGAGTGAAGGAAAAGCAGCTAACAAGTACTCAGCATATGTGGGAACTCCTTCAAGGCTGTTGGAAAAGCATTCCAGGTGAAGCTGGTTGAGAGAATGCCAAGAGTGTGCAAAGCTGTCATCAAGGCAATGGGTGGCTATTTGAAGAATCTCAAATATAAAATATATTTTGATTCGTTTAACACTTTTTTGGTTACTACATGATTCCATATGTGTTATTTCATAGTTATGATGTCTTCACTATTATTCTACAATGTAGAAAGTAACGAAAAACCCTTGAATGAGTATGTGTGTCCAAATGTTTGACTGGTACTGTACATTGCCACACCAGACACACAATCACTCTCTTTCACACACAAATACATCCTGTAGCTAAGCAAATAAAAATACAAATAAAATACACATAATCCATAAAAATTAAGTAATTAAGAAATATCAGCATGAGCAATGTCAGAGACCGGAATATATATATATATATATATATATATATATATATACATATAAAGGTGTGTTTTGTATGTAAACATTATTAAAGTGACCAGTGTTCAATGACTAGAATACAGTATGTACATTACAGTTCCTTCAGAAAGTATTCATACCCCTTGACTAATTCCGATTTTGTTGCGTTACAGCCTGAATTCAAAATGTATTAAATAAATAAAAATCTCACCCATCTAATTTTTGCAAATTTATTGAAAATGAAATACAGAAATATCTCATTTACACCTTGAGTCAATACTTTGTAAAGCACCTTTGGCAGCGATTACAGCTGTGAGTCTTTCTGGGTAAGTCTCTAAGAGCTTTCCACACCTGGATTGTGCAACATTTGCCCAATATTCTTTTCAAAATTCTTCAAGCTCTGTCAAATTGGTTGCTGATCATTGCTAGACAACCATTTTCAGGTCTTACCATAGATTTTCAGCAGATTTAAGTCAACATTTGTAACTCGGCCAACATTCACTGTCTTTTTGGTAAGCAACTCTAGTGTAGATTTGGCCTTGGTGAATTCATCTCCCAGTGTCTGGTGGAAAGCAGTCTGAACCAGGTTTTCCTCTAGGAATTTGCCTGTGCTTAGCTCCGTTTATATTCTATCCGGAAAATGTCCCCGTCCTTAACGATTACAAGCATGAAGCAGCCACAACTATGCTTGAAAATATGGAGAGTGGTACTCAGTAATGTGTTTTATTGGATTTGCCCCAAACATAACTCTTTGTATTCTGGACAAAAAGTGAATTGCTTTGCCACATTTCTTGCAGTATTACTTTAGTGCCTTGTTGTAAACAGGATGCATGTTTTGGATTTGTTTTATTCTGTACAGGCTTCCTTCTTTTCACTCTGTCAATTAGGTTAGTATTGTGGAGTAACTACAATATTGTTGATCCATCCTCAGTTTTCTCCTATCACAGCCATTAAACTCTGTAACTGTCTTAAAGTCACCATTGGCTTCATGGTGAAGTCCCTGAGCATTTTCCTTCCTCTCAAGCAACTGAGTTAGGAAGGACGGCTGTATCTTTGTAGTGACTGGATGTATTGATACACCATCCAAAGTGTAATTAATAACTTCACCATACTCAAAGGGATATTCAATGTCTGCTTCATAATTTTTTTACCCATCTACCAATAGGTGCCCTTCTTTGCGAGGCATTGGAAAACCTCTTTGCGAGGCATTGGAAAAATTGTATGTGTGGGGTACAGAGCTGAGGCAGACATTCACAAATCATGCTAAACACTATTATTGTACACAGAGTGAGTCCATGCAACTTATTATGTGACTTTTTAAGCACATTTTTACTCCTGAACTTATTTAGGCTTGCCATAAAAAAGGGGTTGAATACTTATTGACTCATTACATTTCAGCTTTTCATTTTTAATTAATTTGTAAAACATTTAGAAAACATAATTCCACTTTGACCAAAAAAAATCTAAATTCAATAAATTTCGATTCAGGCTGTAACACAGAAAAATGTGGGGGAAATCAGGGGGTGTAAATACTTTCTGAAGACACTGTACATGCCTATGGGAATGTGTGTGTGTGTGCTCTGCAACTAATATGTGTGGGTTCTGTGCAGTGCCTGGGAGGCTTAGCATAACACCTCGGTGGCTGTGTTCCCATTGGTGGTTTAAAGGTTATCTCTTAATGACACTGCTGGGCCTGGCCAATGTTCATTAAGCATTCAATTAAACCATCCACTGACAGTGCCTCAGGGAGAGATAGAGAGCTACACGTACAACAACATCATACAGGAATGTCGGGCTGTCACTGACGCACTGCTATTCTATTCTGTTCTATTCTCTGTGCGTTTGTTTTAGCCTTTTCTACCTTAACCTGCCCTGTCCAGCCATACATCGTTTTGTTCTATACTATTGTGTTCTATACATATCTACTCAAATATATTTGAGTTAGTGCAGTTCGACGACTGTTGTTTTTCTCTTCAAGATCTTTGCCATACGTTGGTTAGCATAGAAAACCTACAGCTTTGCCTGTTGGTTTGAGATGCATGAAGGGGTTGGAATGTCCTCTGTGAAAAAGTTATGTTCCTCTCTATTCTACTTAACAACACTCTTTTCTGTTCTACTGTCAGAGGCTATAGACATGACTCACCATAACCTGGAGCCAGTCAGTACATAAAGACACCTCTAAGAAGGCCAGAGGAAGATTACAGAGAGACAGAAGAGAGAGACTGACAGAGGAGTCCTCTTTTGTTTCTCAATACATGTGGGAGAGAAAGATAGAGGGAAGAAGACGAAAGCTACTGGGCAAAAACTGGTTGACTCAACGTTGTTTCCACGTCATTTCAACAAATACAATTCAATGTGATGACGTTGAATCAACGTGGAACATTTATTGGATTTGCAAAAAGTCATCAACATAAGGGAATTTCGTATTTTTTTTCACCCAACTTTTAACCTAAATCCAATGATATGGTGAATTTGTCTTGTTGATTTCACGTGTAATTCACGTTAGTTGATAACTCAACCAAATGTACATCTAAATTAGACGCTGAAATGACGGGCATATAGGTAGGTCAGTTAGTAATCAGTCTAGGAATGGTTGAATCCATACATCAGCCCCAAATACACACACATGATATAGACCAATCAGAGCCCTGCTTACTGTAATTACAAAGCAGAAAACAGTGCAGAAAGTGCAGCTTGACAAAACAAACGTTTCTTCAGAGAAAAGGGTCCGGATGTCTTTAATAAAATATAACTCTTAATTAGAATCTCAGTGGGAGATAGCAGCACTGCTTTAGTGGTAGCTGGGGGGCTCTCTCATTCTTGGCACACACACACACACACACACACACACACACACACACACACACACACACACACACACACACAGTAGAAAATGTGTGCAAAGTCAAGGTTAGGATTCAGATGAGTCGGTTCAATGAAAACACAAAGGAGCGCCTGGTTTTCGGTCAATTACAACATCCTTAAAAAGGTACACTCCACACGATGACATCAACATCCACAGAATTCACACCCATCTTCCTCGTCAGTCTTTGTCAGATTTTCATTCTGCTGATGTTATTTTCTGTTGTGTGTGATGATGTCATCTTGTAAAGTGTACCTTTAATTGACTGCCTCATTCAAAGGAGACCACTTAGGGGGTAGGTAAAATGTGTGATTTTCAACACCTAGCCACACAGCAGCCAGGGGTAGAGTGCGGTGACAATTGGAGGGGCAGTCATGTAATTAAATATAAGTGAGGACAATCAAAGTCCCATAAAACACTGGTCTATTCTGGTCTGTTCAGAACATGATGTACTGGCCTAGATCGAAGAGTCACTCACCTACATGCGCGAACACACATACTCATATGTACACATACACACACTCGTATGTACAAACTCATACATGCACAGAAGCTAAAAGCCACAAGGGACCAAAGGGATTGATGGTGTCCAGGATTAATGGCAGTCTTGGGAGTCCCTGCTGATTGCAGACTGGATGATAGACTGCTGCAAGCAGAATGACCCTGTGAGTTATTATATTCATTTATCCTGTTTCACTTCATGTACAAGTGGGTAACCTGTACGAGTGCAAGGTGTGAAATGGAAATGTGTTTTTTGCATATCCCAACTCCCCCTGAGACACCCTCAGGGAGTGGGGCCACGGCCATGTGTGTCTGTGCTTATGTGTGTTGTTCCTGAATTTGTGTGCGTGTCTGTGTTTGTTTGTGTGTGTGTGTGTGTGTGTGTGTGGTGTGTGGGGGGGGGGGGGGGGGGGGGGGGTACTGAATTTGCTCACAGATTTGTAAAAGTGCATTCTCTTTGAATCAATCAAGCCCACTGAGACAAAGACGTCCATTAGACAAGGAGGGGGTAGGGCTTGTTTCTGGACGGGGCCATAGGCTTTCACTTATTCAATGATGTCTGACTACCTCAAGGAAGGGCGTAAGAAAGGAAGGAAGGAATCTTTAGGAAAGAAGGAGGGGCATTTTTAGGTCTTCTAAAATAAGACAGCAATCAACCACATCACTGTAGACTTCATATTTACATTACAGCACTTCCTGTATACACAATTGATTTACATCCTGTTTACCTGACATTGTGGTGAAAAAAATGAAGTGAATGAAGTTTAAGATCACTGCTGTACAGTTTGTTACTGTTGTCCTTCTGTCAAAAGAAAACAAATCCAGGCTTACACACACACACACACGCACACACACAAACACTCTAAGGCTGCTGCAGTCACCTGCTGTTGGAGTGGTACTGCAGTGTCGACATGCCAGAGGGAACATCTCTGCCTGCCATAGCAAAACTAGAAAAACGTTACATAAAGGTTCTTCTGAAACATCCACGCTACCACCTACAGAAGCTAATGCTACTCCCGCTATAAAAAGCCAGCTATCTGCCGCCCACCCACGCAGGTGGCTTACACCTACCCTGTAGCAGAGGGGACGTTGTGTAAATGTTTGGTCAGTGTTGATCCAGCGTTGAGCCGCTGTTTGGCTAGCTCAGGAGAGCTTTTGAAAAATGAGAGAGGGATGGAGGCAGGAAGGTAGGAAGGAAGGAGACCTTTTATGGTTCGGCGGAAAAATGTATTTACTTCTATCTCACTCTGGATTTCTCTCTCCTCCTCTCCCTCCCTCTTCTGCTGTAGTTTGTCTCTCTCTTTTTTTTTTCTCTCTCCTCATACTCCCTCTCTCCTCTTCGATAACGCCCCCCCATCCCGATCTCTCTCCCTCTTTCTCTCCCCCACTCTCCGTTTCTATCCCAATCTCTCTCTCTCTCTTGCTCCCCCCGATCTCTCTCCATCTCTCGCTCTCCACTTGATGTATCCAGCGGTAAATGTAGAAGCCTCGTGTGCTGGCTGTTGCCACGGCAACAACACAATGGACCTTATAAAGCTAATAAGTAGAGAGCAGGAGGGGAGAGGAGGAAAATGTTAAAAACAGCGCATTAAAAAAACATGAAAATGTGCGCAGACCTATTCCTGGAGTTGGACCTGGGGGCTGTTTGCAGATAGAGGGATGCTGGCGAAAGAGAGGAAGAGAGAGAGATGCAGAGAGAGAGAGTTGTTTCTCTGGTGGCGTTGTGATGTATCAGATTTGATGTGCCAGCCATGTTTGCTGGTGTCTGTTTTTCTCAGAATGACCTTCTTGATCCAAACCAGTCAGGTTTCAAGACTGGTCATTCAACTGAGACTGCTCTTCTCTGTGTCACGGAGGCTCTCCGCACTGCTAAAGCTAACTCTCTCTCCTCTGCTCTTGTCCTTCTAGACCTGTCTGCTGCCTTTGATACTGTGAACCATCAGATCCTCCTCTCCACCCTCTCCGAGCTGGGCATCTCCGGCGCGGCTCACTCTTGGATTGCGTCCTACCTGACCGGTCGCTCCTACCAAGTGGCGTGGCGAGAAGCTGTCTCCGCACCACGTGCTCTCACCACTGGTGTCCCCCAGGGCTCAGTTCTAGGCCCTCTCCTATTCTCGCTATACACCAAGTCACTTGGCTCTGTCATATCCTCACATGGCCTCTCCTATCATTGCTACGCTGACGATACACAACTAATCTTCTCCTTTCCCCCTTCTGATAACCAGGTGGCGAATCGCATCTCTGCATGTCTGGCAGACATATCAGTATGGATGACGGATCACCACCTCAAGCTGAACCTTGGCAAGACGGAGCTGCTCTTCCTCCCGGGGAAGGACTGCCCGTTCCATGATCTCGCCATCACGGTTGACAACTCCGTTGTGTCCTCCTCCCAGAGTGCGAAGAGCCTTGGCGTGACCCTGGACAACACCCTGTCGTTCTCCGCTAACATCAAGGCGGTGACCCGATCCTGTAGGTTCATTTTTTTTTTTTTTTCATGCTCTACAACATTCGGAGAGTACGACCCTGCCTTACACAGGAAGCGGCACAGGTCCTAATCCAGGCACTTGTCATCTCCCGTCTGGATTACTGCAACTCGCTGTTGGCTGGGCTCCCTGCCTGTGCCATTAAACCCCTACAACTCATCCAGAATGCCGCAGCCCGTCTAGTGTTCAACCTTCCCAAGTTCTCTCACGTCACCCCGCTCCTCCGCACACTCCACTGGCTTCCAGTTGAAGCTCGCATCTGTTACAAGACCATGGTGCTTGCCTATGGAGCTGTGAGGGGAACGGCACCTCCGTACCTTCAGGCTCTGATCAGTCCCTACACCCAAACGAGGGCATTGCGTTCATCCACCTCTGGCCTGCTGGCTCCCCTTCCTCTGCGGAAGCATAGTTCCCGCTCAGCCCAGTCAAAACTGTTCGCTGCTCTGGCACCCCAATGGTAGAACAAGCTCCCTCACGACGCCAGGACAGCGGAGTCACTCACCACCTTCCGGAGACGTTTGAAACCCCACCTCTTTAAGGAATACCTGGGATAGGATAAAGTAATCCTTCTACCCCCCCCCCCCCCCCACAAAAAAAACATTTGTAAAGTGGTTATCCCACTGGCTATAAGGTGAATGCACCAATTTGTAAGTCGCTCTGGATAAATGACGTAAATGTAAATGTAAAAATGTAGTGGAAGTGGAGTGTGTGTGTGCGTGTGTGTGTGTGCGTGCATGCTGCGGTGTGTGTGTGTGTGTGTGTGTGTGTGTGTGTGTGTGTGCAAGAGTATGTGACTGCATCAGTGGTTATAAAAGGTTGCTTATATTTGTCCTGCTTAAAGCTGCAATATGTATCTTTTTGGGCAACCCGACCAAATTTACATAGAAATGGTAGTTATAAATCTGTCATTCTCATTGAAAGCAAGTCTAAAAAGCGGTTGATATGTTCTATTTCTATGCTTCCCATGCATAAGTTTTAATTTTGCGTCTTTTACTTTCGGTTTTGTAAATCAGCTTCAAACAAACTGAAAATACAATATTTTTGGTTATTGAAAATATATTTCACAGTGGTTTATATGATACAATGATTCTCTACACCCTCTGAGAATTGCTTGTTTTGTCACATAAATGGAAATTAGGTGAACTCTTAGAATGTTTGCAACCAGGAAATGGCGGAGTGATTTCTGTATATTGCACCTTTAACTGCATGTACAATTGGGTAACCTGTACGAGTGTGGGGTGTGAAATGGAAATGTGTTTTTTGCTTATCCCAACTTCCCCTGAGACACCCTCGGAGAATGGGGTCACAGCCTTTTGCTTATCCCAACTTCCCCTGAGACACCCTCGGAGAATGGGGTCACAGCCTTTTGCTTATCCCAACTTCCCCTGAGACACCCTCGGAGAATGGGGTCACAGCCAGGGATGTACAGCTAGCCTCTGATCTGCTTCTTCATAAATAACCAAATGTAAACAGAGAGACATGATACACACACATGCCTGAAAATCATCTCTGCTTCACATACAAAAAGATAAACACATACACACACTCTCTTCAATTACATTGAGCTGATATCTGACGTGCTGTTCCTTCTTTTTCCGTAGTATATTTCTGTATTGTTTTAGTGATACTAAGAATGTCATACTAAACTTGGATAGATCTCTCTCCTCATAGGCTCTCCTATCTCTCGCTCTCCTACTTTCTTCTTCGCTTCTCTCCTCTCGAGGTCTTCTCCTCTCTATCTACGATCTCTCGCCGTTCTCCCCCCACGTTCCCTTCACACCGCCAAGCTTCATCTCCTCTCCGTCACTGAGGATTCTCTCTCTCTCTCTCTCTCTCTCTCTCTCTCTCTCTCTCTCTCTCTCTCTCTCTCTCTCTCTCTCTCTCTCTTTTCCTCACCCACACACACCTGTATCACCTTGAATACAACTATGGAGAAAGAGAAGGACATTCTATTCTCTTCTACTCTCTCCTCTAGTCACCTCTCCTTATCTCCATCCCTCTCCCCCTTTCTGCTCCCTGGTGAGATGTGGGTGGGTGAGAGAGGAGTGAGGAAACAGGTGACAGACTGTCAAAGCCACGCCACCTGGTAATCATCACTGTGACCTCCACCGCCGCACCATGACAACTGCTGATCTCATCCTCATGGGAACACCTGGACGACCAGCTCATTCACACATCTAGCGACCCAGAAGGGACACAGGGTATGACACACAGGAAATAGAGAGTAAAGTCACACACACGGCCTGGGGGGTGGGATGTTAGGTGTCTGTGTGTGTGTGTGTGTGTGTGTGTGTGTGTGTATGTGTGGGGTCCCAAGACTTAGGTCCTTAGAAGTGTGAGTGTCTCAGGGAGGGTTTAATTGGTTGAGTTTGACAGAAATGTCTTCATTCTATTGATAAATAATTACTACACCTGAGGCTGGTCTATTAAACTCAGGGGCGGGTAGCTTAATACATGAGCTCATACTGTACCATGGCATTGTTGAATACTTGTTTCTGATTGGCTTGAAGGGCATTCTAGAGCATGCATTATTTCCCTATAACGCACAGTATGTAGTTTTTGCATGGTATAATTCAATGGCTATAGTTCCTTCTTACATGTTCTATGTTAAAGCTGCTTTTGAAAGCAACATCACACATACACACACGCACGTACTTACACACACGCACATACTTACACACACACACACTTATGCACGCAGCACTGCACTGTAGAGAGACCAGGATTAAGAAGCAATGCCCTACCTGTTTGTGTACAGTAGATCTGAAATGATTGGACAGGTCTAAACAATAACATTACATTCCCACCAGTTGGAGGGCAAGGTGAGGTTGGTTCAACATTTCTTACATTACATCTTTCCATTCCTCTCAGATCTACAAGAACTTCTACAAGAGGTGGCTAGAAGGTGATTTAGACTTTGGATGACTACCATGTAAGGTGGTAGGACCAGAGAATGATCTTGGATGAAGAATGACACTGATCCAGACCTTTCCTACAGCTGTGTTACCTCTGGCTGATTTCAGGTGTCACAAAAGCCAGACAGAATCAATCTATCGCCGAGGCGTCATCCCTCCCTCGCCCTTCAAGGTCTCCGTGAATGAGGACGCCAGAGTGAAAAATTGAAAAAAGACTAGGTAAAATGCGGAGGAAGGTGAAATAAAAGAGAAGAAAAGAAAAGCGTGTCCAGACGGAAACTTCCAGATCCACTACACGCAAAGGGAAGAGGAAGGAAGAAGATGGATAAAAATTCAC